CTGCCCACTGTTCCTAGTGTGGTATAGCCCACCTCCATCCTGAAACCAAAGGCAGCCAGCACCTGATGTTGGAGAGGGATGTTGGAGAGGAGGGGGACCCTCTTACATTTTACCTGATGATGTTTTCTTAAAGCAGAGGCCATTTAGCTCTCCCATAAACTATCTCATACCATAAATCAAAAGCATTAAACCACTATATTAATCTATTTGATTCCATAAGAGCCTGGTACAATGAGTCTCACCAATAGCTTCATTTTTCCCTTCCTAAGCACTCTCTCCTTCAGCATAACTTTCAGATCACACCATAGGGTGACACTGAAGAGTTTTCCCTTTGTGCAATACATGCTTTTCACAGGTTAATGCCAACGCTTAGATCTATTGCTCTTCCTCATTCTGGTATGCAACACACACATCATGTACTTTGGCATAGCCTCACCATCAGAGCTACATAATCCTCAGTTATGATAATCTTTGGTTAAAAACGTGCAAGTATTTCAACTAGAGCTGATTAGAACAGCATCTGGGAATGATAGAGTGCTGACATTAGTTTCCATGCCATTCTGTGTTTTGTTTTGGACACATTTTAGGCTTCTAGTTTCTGTGGAATAACCACATTTTCCTTGTCCTGTTGTCAGTAAAAAACAATTTCGCTCCCCCACCACTAGCCCCCATCATGCAATAAACTGTCCCTTCTGTGGCTTCAGCAGGGGTAAGCACAGGTAGTCTGGCATTGGGGTGCCCACTCATCCATGTTACTCTTTAATGGGATTCTTCACAATCCGCCAAATCTGAACTAACCTCAACTTTGTGTCACACTTCAACTCAGATTTCACTGTCTTTAGGACCCAAGTTAGCCTTTTAAAGGACTTTCCCATTTGAGGAGCTTTTAAACAGCAGCTCTCTGTTGTCTACTGTTCTCTTCATACTTTTGAAGAAATCCTTGTGACTGGAAAAACACCATTTAGTTTTGCAAAACTTGCCATAGCTTCTCCCAGTCACCTTAAACTCCTGTAGGTACTCTCTTAAATCGTAATTTTTTTCACCACTTTCCAGCTGATGCCATTCTTAGTTCTTATGGCAGCCTGTAGTACCAGCTTTCAAGATACACCTTCACAGCCCAGTCTATTTCTCCAGTCTAGCAACCCTTCATAACTATAACTTCATTTGTTATTTTTAGTAACTGAACTATTTCACTCTGCGCTGTTAGGTCAGGTTAACTCTGCCTGGTACTTGCCACTTGTAAAAACATTCTCAAGTTTTCCACCTTGCCTTGAACATCTCCAGTGCTGCCAGGATCTGATATTCCATGACTCTGATGGGCAGAGAAACAATTGTTAGGATAAAATTTTTTGGTGAAGCTTAGCACAACTGATTTTTCCCCCCCTCCCTTTCATCTAAAAATGCAAAACCACAATTCCAATGCTCTCAGCACAGCTAGGTAGATGTTTAAAAAAAAAAAAAAAAATTGTGTTGATCTCTTTACATCCATTTAACAATTTAACATCCAGGTTGTAGTCATTTCACATGAACTAATGATTTCCGTAGCATTTCTTCTATGTTCTGTCTTAAAGTCATTTACCTGTGGCTGAACATCTTATATGCCCCAAACATCTGGATGATGAGAAATAATTTCCAACCACATGGTGTTCCTTGATTGCATCATTTTTCTAAGCTAAGTACTAGCCATTTTTACAATGCACTTACACTTGAAACTTACCTTGTTACAGAAAAAAGTAAATTCTATTTCTCAATTATTCTTCTTCTGGAGATTTTATGTTCTGAACTCAACTGAAATCAGAAAAGGTCTGTTCACTTCACAATCAGCTCCCAAGTTTGAGGAACGGTTGAAGAATATCTAATAGGAAAAAGGTTTCCATGACTCAGTGTCTCTGTAAAGAATCTGGGCTTCAGATTTCTTGGTAAGGAGATACTCTTGTTGCGGCAGAGCATGCAACTCCCTAGAAGCAATTTCCACGGCAGCCATTTCTTTTACTTCAAGCAAATATCATTGTCCTGCAGTGCGTGCAATTTTAAGCAAAATCTGTTTCCTTGTGTCAAACAGCTTCACGTACTTCAGAGTGTGAGCATGCTGGAGGGAGCGGGTGTTGCCAAAGGCACAGCCCCTTGGCATTCTCAGAAACCTACCGGCAACTTGGCCGCCTCCTTGGGATAGGATCCCCTTACAAAAATCTGTTCCTTAATAGAAAACTTGACCTAGAGATTTAATGAGCCACGTATACAAACTGAGACACTCCATTATTGGATGCTGCTTGAAGCGTTACGTCCAGAACCATTCACAGCACTATTTAGCACACATAATTAGCAATCTTCAGAGAGCACACGCTTCCCACCCTGTCAGTAAATATCAGCATCCTACAGCCCTTTGCCATGCAGAGCTGGGAAAAGCCAGCGTGCTGAAGCCTAGGGCTCCTACAGAGAGATGTCCCTTCTCCCTGGTGCTCAACACTTACCAGTGTACGGCTGCAGCCACCGGCTCGCCAGCTTGCTGCCGGCACTCCCAATGGCCGGGCCCGGCCGCCTGCCCACGCACGGCGGGTCTCAGCAGCCTTCGAAGTTGTGCAAATCAAAACAGTTGCTCTTTCATCACAGTTCCTCTTTTCTTCTTGGAAGGAATCAAGAAGTCTGAAAGGCCTGGCAGCTCTGCCCCCTTCACTTTTCACTCACAGAAAAACCTCTCCCGGCAGCTCCTGCCATCTCGCGCAAGCCGGCGCCTCACAGGACCTCTACCTGCCCAGCTCCACAGAGCACAAAGGCAGGAGGATTTGCCGATTACTCTCTCTCTCACAACACAATTGACTTCTCTCCCAGGTTAGCTTTGACATACCAAAACACCCATTTATCCTACCAATGGCTGCTCTGGGCACCCCAGAAAGGCAAAGAGTAGTAGCACCTTAGCTGTGGGCAGGCCTTGTTCTCCCACCCACCCCGTTTCCTACCTGCTGGTGCAGCACACGGCAGGAGCACGACAACCTGGGAGCCATTGTGTCTACCAAAGAAGACTTGAAAACAATTCATTAATTGAGCAGGCTGCAAAATGACTGCACCTGCTGTGGCAGGACAGGCACCTATACCAAAACTTCCCTTTATGTTCTCAGGAAGGCCCAACTGCCACAGCATTGTGTGCTTCAACAGTTGTTCCACGCTACAATGTCTGTATTTAAAATTATCTGATACTTGAAAGGTACTATGTTAAGTACATTTTTATTTAAACTCACTAGAACTGAGAAAGTAAATAATTGTAAATAACTCAGAAAATGACAACTAAGGTGTAAGTGACTGGGCAGGTATTTCTAGCAAAAGCAGATCTACAGTAACTGACAACTCACAGATCAATTCCTCAGCAGTCCAGCCAGCAGGGCAATTGAGCACATGCCTCCAAAAAGGAGCTGAAACAAGGAAGAAACACCTGTCTTTCACCTTTAGTGATCTGGCCAAGAATCAACGTTCAGAGGGAATTTCTGGAAGAAGAATTTCAGTTTATCAAAAACAATCATTATGTTCCAAGATTGTTGTATAACACATAATTTTAAAATTGTTGCAAAACTATGGTTTGCAATTAAAATAGCAGAGAAGGCAGAAAATTTCTTTGACAATTCTCTTCATGTTCAAAGATGAATAATTTCTCACTTTTGTAAGACAGCCTGAGAGTTAAGCATGAAACAGATTGTACAACTTGCACGCTTGGTCAAAATTGACAGCATGCTTGGCATTGTCTGAAGTGGTCAGAGAAGCATAAAAAAATCTAACAGTCTGATTCTACAGTGACCTGGAAGTCACTTAATTTGCATGATTAATCCTACTAAAGTCTTCAGTAAGAAGGTTACAATCAAATGGAAAGATTTCTGATATGCCTTCTGTGGCAATATATAAAACCAAATGCAGCTCTGTCACACAGAGATGCAAATCAATACTGAGGCTTACACAAAGCTATTGCAGACAGATCTCCATCCAGCACCATAAATCATGGGGTTTTTTTTCCCCAAGGAAAAAAAACAAGTACAACATCCATTTATTTTATTTTAATCTTTATTATAAACAATTTTGTAGTTTCCAAAATGGGATTACTACATACTAGATAACAAAAACATCCTCAACTGAATCAGTTTTAGCTTTTACTAGGTTAAATCAGAACCAGCAAAACAAGTTTTTTTTTTAAGGATTTAGTCTATTGCAAGAAAAACAGCTTTACAAACATGAAATAGAATTAAAGATAAGCATTTGATCATATATACATAAGCAGCTCATGACACTCTGGACAGAAACATACAAGGAACTTCTTTGCACATAAATAGATTTTTAAAAGTATATTTCTCTCACATGTATACAAAATTATTTTGCTTTCTATACTGAGCAAAGTTCTTGGAGACATAACCAAGGATTTCTAAGAGACAAAATCCCACATATAGCTTAGGATGTGGGCTGTCACGCACACGAGGATGCAATAATACAATTTACACAGCATTCCTATACAATACTTGAGCTTCTTATATACATACTTACAAGACACTTTTGTACATGAGATGCCACCTTTGCAATTGAAATGGCATCTACCCTGAAAGGCTGCATTAGTTCCAGTGTTTGTATAAAACAAGTTTCAAAAGGCAGCACCACTTGGCTTGCAGAGTCAAGGTTCCACTGAGCTGCAGCTATAGTGAAGGCAGTGGAGTAATTACACTGACCTCTCTGTGCTCACACAGTCCCAGCGGGGAAGGTTAAGAACCCTTGAAGTCTACACAGTCTACACAAGTTTACCTCTATAAAATGTGGCTGTGGAGAGAAAAATTGATTTTAACAGATCCATGGCTGAAGCCACACACTTTGGCTCTTCAGCTTTCTCTTCAAGCTACTTAAAGCCAAGTGTCTGGTTCTGTTTTTCCGGGAGAAGTTTGGCTTTTACATGAACTTTTCACTATGGTTAAGTTACTTATCAATGGTGGGGCTGGGTTCAGCACACACACGTGACCTGTGAAACTCTTCTTTAATGCAGGTAGAAGGGGTGCACAGTGCAGCGATGACAGAGGACCCTGCTAAGCTTCTCCTGGTGTGGGGAATGCTCAGCACCTGTGAGAATCAGGTGCCAAGCCTGCTGTGAGATTAGGTCAGGCTTCCACTTTGTTTCAGGCACAACAGTGTCAAAAGAAGGGCTGGGGTTTTGCTCCTTGCTTCTCTTAATCATACTTTGTCCAACTAGAAAACAGTGCCCGGAGAACAGTCAGAGCAGCATGCAGGTGATGACTTTTAAGACTTGGCACAGTGTCTAGCCAAATGCTACCAGGACATCAGCAATGCCAAACACACGTACTACTGCATCCGTGGGTTACACACACCCATACTCATACCAAACTGTCTGCTGATCCCCCTGGGGGTCCGGAGACCCAGGAGTACTGTTGGAGCTGCTTCCTCTCACAGGCTCCTCCATAGCCCCAGCACTGCCTTCTGGCAGCTTACCCTGGCACTTGGTAAGTAGGGCATCTCCCTGGCCTTGTCCTAGGGAAGTATTTCCCTCAGTCCTGCTGGAAACAGCTCTGGCAGGGGCCACTGTGGCCACCTCCCCAGTACGAGGGGCTGGCTTGGGTTTGACTTTAGAGAGAGTGTGTGATGTGGGTGAGTAGTGTTGCCCAGGGTTCACACGCTCCTGTTGCTGCGTGTTCAGATTGCTGGTGGATGCAGTGGGTGAGGCAGAGAACTGATGGAAGGAAAGCGGCCTCTCATCCTGTGGTGGGGCCAGGGAAAGGCGCCTTGTGTCAAGCTGCCGACAGCGGGAATCGACACCTTGCAAGGAACCTGCCACCTTTGCAGACTGTGGCCTCTCTCTTAAGGTTGCCTGGGAGCTGGTTGGCACAGAAGCCCTAGTGGTTTGACTGACAGCGTCCTTGCCCCCATGCAGGTCTGCTGCTGACTTCTGAGGGCTCTCCTGCCTGTATGTCTCTGGGCCGGTGGCTCTGAGGAGGTCTGCAGAGGCTAAGCTAAATGCCCTGCTCAGCGATGTACTCCTCCTGCTCACTGTTCCAGGCTGCTGAGGCTGTGCCATCTGCCGCATCCCGCTGGCAGGCTGGTGCTGTGGTGTGTGAGGAAGCTTAAGGGACCCCTGGGAGTTTGCCAGAGGCTCAGGTTCCACTTGTCTGAGGTTTGGCTTCATGTAATTTCCAGGCTTAGCTGTTCTTCCTTCTTCATTGGTGGTGGTCATCTTTACAGTTGCAGCAACAAGACTAGTGGGCATCTTAGCAGCCTCCTTTCTGGATGGCTGAACCAGCAGGTTCCCAGTAGTTGAAGGCTCATTTGCTTTCCTAAAATAATCGCTGAGCAAGTCATCTTTGTTACTGGAGGTGTCCTGCTGTGAGAAAATATGCACATGCCACATTAATGACACCACTTTTTGTTTAAAGAATCATGCAGAATTTTGTGTTCAGATGATCTTCCTTCCCAACTAATTCAACCCAAATACAACCATAGATTTTATATTTAAAGAGGGGAACAAAAGATATAAATGTTTACAATGGGTATAAATCCAAACCAAGGAGTAACATGCTCATCATAATTAGATCATGACAGCCTTGTTTGCCAGACTAATTGTCTTAAATTTAAAAAGTTTCATCTCACTTGCAACCAGGGCAGCAGCTCTTTTGCTTCCTTTCACAGCAGCCACTGTCACTGTAATATGAATATCATATTAATGACAGCCACTGGTATCAGCAGATATCAATGATGGTCTGTCATCTTCCAGAATACAGTTCATCTGGATAACACTCTACTGTAACTTCAGAGATATAAAAGGAGAGTATACCCTGGGGAGATGTGCTAGCATTACAAGAAAGTTTCATTGCTTCTTCATTGATTCCCGTCACCTCTCCCAGTCAATATACTACACGTTAAAAGCTGTGTGTACAATATAACGAAATGTACACAGAATCATTACAAAAATGGAGAAATTATTGCTTGTCTACAATTAACTTGCAAATTTCAAGTCAGACAATTAACCTGGCAGTAAAAGAAAATATACAATGAATATTTCATGGGGATGGCCCATGCAATCCAAAGATGGTGGTATTTGATCAGCTGCCATTGGACAATTAGTACGAGGCATACTCAGAATAGTTAAGGGACATGCTTTCTTCATGAAAAACGTGCTGAAACAAGCTCATGGAATTTACTTCTTTACTCTTCTCTAGGGAGTATGTTAAAGCTTAATATATTCATTTCACTAGCGCTCCAAACATTTCTTCCAGTCAGAAAACTCGTTTGCTGGAAGTGAATACCATCAATGGTAATAGTGCAGTGGGAAGATTTCTATGCTCAACTAAATGTTAAAACGTTAGGGTTATTTTTAACTTCACCTTAAGCTTCTATTACGCACATTAACATTACAGAATGACTAGTCCTCCAAAAACACGCATGTTTATGAACAAGCACTGGAAATACCTTAAGAGCAATTAATGCAAGTGATCTGGCAGCCTTTAAAATAACAGCTAAGAGTTACAGTATGCTGCTATAGGTATTAATATGCTAGCAAAAGCTGTGGTAAGTTGGGAGCTGTTGCCTTCATAGCAAGAACAACGGATACCCTGGGGATATACAGTGAAGTAGATCTCCTATTTCGCCTGCCTGTTCTGTGCCTCACGCTGTCAGGACATGAATGACTGAGGACTGATTCAAGTGACTGCGAAGGTTCCTGACGGAGGGAAGGACATAGGGAGTAGCAAGAGGGATACAGTGCATCAGCTTCTAACAGAAATTGGTGCAATGAAATCATTTCACTCTCATTTAAACTGCGCCGACGCTGAAAAGGAACAAGGATGACAGAAAGAATGAAAATGGAGACATGATCAGGTACTTACAGAGAAAAAAAAATATCAAATTTTAAACACCTCTAAAAGCTAAGAAATGTATTTAGGATAATAAGGGAATAGGAGGTATATTTAAATATTGCTCTGAAAATTCAAGGACCAGAATTTACTGATGCAATAAAATGGTACAGCTCTGTTGATTTAAATACTCTTACCAAGGCATTCATGAAACAGAAACGTCTCTTCACTTACACTATCAGTGAATTGTTCTTAAGACATTAACATGCTCAATACTGCACCGCCTCACTACTGTACAGCATGTCTGAGCAGTAAAAGACAAATGCCATCTAGAAAACAAACATTTCACTTCTGACAAAGCACTTCAGCATGCGGCATATTCCTGCAGTCATTGAACCGTGCCAGTCAGCACACAAACATGCAGCATGGTGAAAGCATTGAGAACTTCCTTCAGTCAGAAAAATATTCTCTCTCAAATGCACTGATAATATTTTCAGATTAGGAGATGGTTTTAACAACTGCATATTTTGCACTTCAGTTGAAAACTACTGTTAGGTTTCATTTCTAATTACAGATTTAGCAGCTGAAAATTACACAGAAAACTTACCAGTTCACAAATAAAAGTACCTGGAGATGAGAACTGATGTTTGATATTAAAAAGCCCTAGCAGTCCAATACATAGTACTTGCAGTGAATTATCTGCCTTACTTGCCATATCTGATACACCAAAATAAATTAGCAGAGTGCTGTGCAAAAGTTAATCTTGCCTTAGTTGTTGGAACCGTTTCATTCATTTTGCAAGATTCAATAGTTCTCTGCAAGTTCCAAACCTATGAACAAGGATCTTCTTGTCTTTCCATGTTTCCTTACACCCTCACTCCCCTGAATCAGCTTTGAACAGTTTTTTGACATCTGAGAGGGGCTACCTAGCTCTATTCACTTACACTTGGTGGGGACAGCCTGTTGCTCTCCTCTAAGAACTCTTCCAAAGTTACCATCTCACTGCCAGGTGAGGCAGACCGTTGCCTGCCTGCATAAGACTGGGATGGAGTACTCTTCTGAGGTATATCATAAGAGATCAAACCATTCCTGTGGGAGGAGGACTCATGCCTGCTGCTAGGGCTTAAGACGGCAGAAGCGGAGTGAAAGGGATAGGTGTCTCGGAGCAAGGCTGGTGCCTCTCTGCTTGGCACCGTATCTTCGCTGCTGAGACTCTCAGTTCTACCATGGATATGATCTAAGGAACCTGAGGAGAAGCATAAATATCATTAAAGACACTGTTCTTCCCTCATTTCAGTAGATTTCTCACAGAGGTAGGAACTCTATCATCCAGGGCCACTTCCACACAGACTAGGTGCCATTTTTGACCTTGCTTTCTTCAACCCCCAAACTCAAGGCAGTCAGAACTTTGAAAAATCAGGACTAGTAAATGTCTTACAGTACATACTTTGAGCGCCTGTGTTAAACAAGCACAACTACTTGTCCAAAGAATAGGAATAACACAGATAGTAAGGGCTCTGTCCCAGTCCTGGCTGTGTGTGATCTGAGAGCCAGAACCTGGCAGTGGGAATGCAGAAAGCAGATTTTCCACAGTGCCAGGTCACCTGGGATCCTTCAAGGATGCACAATTTCAGCAAAAGCAAATCTCCAGAGCGCACTGATTCCATACACAAGCTGTGTACAGAGTAAGTACAGCAGAGACCTGTTGTTGTAAAAGGAGTGCAAGAGTGGCCTGATACTTCCCACGATACGATGCCAAGGCAGATTGAAGCAAAACTAGACTGCCTGCCTTAAAAGCCACCCTTTGCCAGAATCAATCTTAGAAAAATACTTCTTGCCAGCAGTTTTGATTCCCAAGACAGCCATGTTCAGATTGCATAATCATTACAATTTCAAAACAACAGTCTCTCAATTTAATTGGAAGGAAAATGGCATTTTGCACACAGTTTCACGGAATTTCACTTCCTGTTTGTCAAGACTCAGCTGTAAAAGCTTTACCTTTCAAATTGAGAGGTGAACTACTGCTGGAAGCGTTTCTACTGCTCTCTAAACTGTTTGGCCTGGACGCTGAAAAACACAAAACAAGCATTCAACAAACAGATCTTAAGTTCCTCTGATTCTCTAAAAGACTCAGTTATAGCTTACCTTCTGAAAATAGGACCCATGCAACTAACTCACTTTGAAAACATTAACAATGTAATATACACAGTATGCCAAAGCCTAGACAGAGTAGAAACCATTTTCATTTTTCAAGTCAAGTTGTTCAGGATTCATCTTGTTTTTCTCACTTATTTTTTGCCCAAAGAAATATGTTCTGGGTTTTGCTTTTACAGCAACTATAAACAAAGTAATGTAAATACTGAAGAAGTTCAACAATAAGTTGCTGTCTCCTTCTCAGTTTGTTTCTTCAGAAGGAGCTGGTAACCAGCCTGCAAATTAAGTCTTTCACAAATCTCTAAGCAGGCAGTGCTGCTGCTGCACCAGTGCTCCTGCTGTGCATCCATCCCTCCTACCCCAATTTTTTTTTATTGCTGATTCACTCCCTTAAGGAAGGAATTGAACACTGTCTGGAAAAATCAGCAACAAATCTGTTGGACATGCATTAAAGGATCTGTTGCTGGGGCAAGGGAACTTGTCTCAATGTCAGCATTGTTTTTGAAAATTTATTTTGGGAAAACATCCATTAAAAGCTTCTCAGTAGAAAAACAGAAGTACTTAGACCCACATTCCCCAAATGGTGTTGCATTACTACATCTCATTCTATCATGTTAATTTAAGTAAAATGCTCCAGGACAGTTCATGTGGAAGCAATGAAACAAGTCTTTATGTAAAGGTTTAGAGCATTCGTATATGCTACAAGCTTACCATGCTGTCTGGTGCTTGCAAACTCTACCGCAGGGGACTGTTCACATAGATTATCTTCTGAATTATAGCCTGAAAAGAACACAAAACTTAAAAGGCAATATTAAACCCAGGAAGGTTGATCCTTCACATCAGTCTCCAATGCATTCTAGCAGTGTAGAAGACTGAGGTGATCAAGAGACTTTTATAGAGACAACATTGGAAGAGCAGCCACCATCTTATCACTGCTGTGAACCACTGGGCAGGGAACCATGGGAGAACTGACATCCAAATGTGGTCTGTCAAGTTGATGACATTACAGGAGTGAGGAAACCCTGTATCTGATCAATTAAACCATTAAGTAGATAAAGTAGAAGTGAAAATACTAGTGCTCTCTTTTTGTGCTTGGATGCCAGTAGAAGCCATGTTTCACCCAAGCAGGAACTATGAAGTAGCCTGACTTGTACTAACAGCTGGTATATTAAATGCACTGAGCACCTTTTGGTCTGTTCTGGAGCCTGGAGATGGGGGTGGAAGTGTGCAGATGAATAGCTGACGTCGAGTAAGTCCTGGGACCCAGTTCCACACAGCAGTGTTTTGTTGCAGAGTCTGCTGAGATTTCAACACTATCATTGCTGCCTCCATGATGGGAATTCCTCTTTTGCTTTAGGTCCATTAGCACTTAGGGGGAAAGAGGTAAATAAATACGAGTCAATGAAAAACAGCATTAGGAGATTTGTATTTATCTGCCCATACAAACATGACAAGCAGGCACAAAGAAACTGCACAACAGAGGCACTAGTTTTGCAAGCTTTTCCATAAACAGTTCGGTACGGGATAGGAAATTTCTGCCACCAGTTTTTCAATCATGTGTGCTCTCTGTAAAGTGTGGGAGTGACAAGGGCTGCTTAGTGCCAGTGGGAGGGTTGATATTATACATGCAACAATTACCGTGAAAGGAGGAAGAAAAGGAGCAAAGACATGAATGCAGAAAAGATAAGTGAGGTGTGAAATTCCCATAACATTATTCCTTGCAGGTACATTTTATAAGCACTTACTTCAGTAATAAAATAGAATAAGGAAAGAGTGACTGTAGTCACGCTCCTATTCAAAGAGAAATAATGCTGATTTAGAAATTATTTAGCATGATCCGCACACTAATAGATCTTTGCTGTGGGGTAAGAGCTCAGACTCTACAAGGTTAAAACTCTGCTGCTCTTATGATGCTCTGGTGCAATGACTTTTAAGTGGAATTCCTAGGATCTAAATATGAGAACAACAAAAACTACCTGATAGAATATTATTTAGATTCAGAAAGCTGAAGGCATCTTTCCTAGCAATGAGGTAGGTTAATTCATTTCTTGTAATGAGAATGTAACGCTTTAAGGCACACATAAAATAGAACAAAATTTAAAGAATTTACTATTGGAGACACCCTTAATGAGATGCAAGATTCTGGTTTTCTACATATTTCTATGGAGTACTTGCTTAACTAATAGTAACTAAATGCTGAAAACACAGAAGAGTGCCGTGGTCAAAATAAACAACTTGCAGAGACAATGGACAGACAGTTAGTTCAAAGCACAGAGCAGCAGCAAAGCTGTATTAGAGAAACGGACCAAGATACTGTCATCTTAGATGACTCCTAGAAGCTGACTTCAGAAACAATGTTTTCTCCCACAGACTGCGTGGGCTCCATAGCACAGGGCTGGCGCTTTCTCTCGGAATTGAAGTTTATGGCATGCCTGTAGGGGCAATTACTGGCTAAAGCTTGGCATGCAAATCTGTATTTCTAATTGACTTTGTAGATGCACTTAACACCTTCCATAGATGCTAGAATTATTAATTGCTCTGGAGACAAATGTTCTCTACAAATCCCAAAATGGGCAGCAACAGGCTGTTGTGCCAGTGTCCCTGGTTGTGCCACAGAGGGCCAGATCTCAGAGTGAGAAGGGAGATGAGATATTTTGGCCTCTCTGCTGAGCTCCCCGTAAAATATTGCCTGTGCTGCACAGGTCTCTCTAACACGGAGTGGGGACTGGACCCACACATTCACTTCAGAAGCCACCAGGTCATGACTATCATGCAGTAAAGAATTCTGGGCAACGGATCTCTGATGAAGGTTATTCCCAAGCTTAAGAGAACAAATCTACTTTCTTCTTCCAAAAAAATCTGTCAAAACTGAAGCAGCAGAAACTGAAACTTTAGCTCAATTCAAGATGAATTTTCATAACTGGAAGCGTAAAACCTTGCTGAACAGCAGGTTTGAATGCAAACGTCAAGCCACTTTGCAGAGAATAATTTTCCCAGTAGCTTCCACTCTATATTCAAAGCTAGACTATGTAAAAGCAGACAAAGATGTTAAAAAAACTGCCATTTTAGCATTTAGTGGCACAGAATGTTGGAAAAATCTCCAGAATTTGAAACTGCTTATATATTAGATTTGTATTTTAGTAGGACTACAACATTGTAGAAAGCATAGCAACAGCAAACCAGTTCAACACTTCAACTGGACACGATGCAAGTATGTGATTGCAAGAAAATATCGAAGCGCATAGCAACTTCACTTATAACATGCACCACAGCCAATATACATACGCAAACTGTATGCCATGAGGTCCCCTAAAAATGTGCTGCATTGAAGAAATGATCCACAGTGTGCAATAGTGATTCATCTTCTACAGGAAAATTTAAGTCCATGTTCACTAATCTGTGCTTGTATTTAGAGTATTGTAAAGACATGCTGAGTGTTTCTATCAGGGTGTGTGTTCTTTTAAGACACGTGGGACTTTGTTGTTGTTGTTTAAAATATTTGTCAGAAATAAATGAAGATAAATGCTAAAGAGAAGGTGTTAGAAATCTCCCAATTCCGGGAAAGAAAGAGGTTCATTAGGAGAGGATGGGATGTCGGAAGAAGACCAGAACCGGAGCCGATTAGAGAGAGACTGATGATTCGATGGAGACTTAGGAGACTTTTCTTTATCCTTGATTTTGCTTCTCAAAAAGGCAATCTTTTTGCGCTGCGCAGCTAAATTGTTATCACCCAGGTATCCCAAAAAGAAGAAGAAAAAAAAAGTAAAAAAACCCTTGTAAATAAAACGTAAAGTGTCTTAAAATAGATTAAAGACTATGCAACTAGTAAAAACGAAAAAGGCTAAACAAAGACTAACATATATTTGGAGGACTGATTAATGCATAGTTAATCATAATTAATCTGACTCAGATTAATGTATAGATTAACGCATATACATAAAATATAAGCATGTCCATTATGAAATTACTGTTAGGTCACCCAAAATGCTTTTACTTAATAAAGTAAAAATCAGATAGGTGTGCATGTTACTTGGTGATAATATACTCAAATTTCCTAGATGTCTTCTAGGCTTTAATAGTGATGCTCATCATCTCAACATAAGCACATTTCATATAACACCAAAAAGAATGAAGCCCCAGAGACTTTATATTATCTCTGGCACTCCATGAGGCCCTTGTTCTGTGGCAACCAAGACCGAATTCCCAAGGTTGAACTTTGGATGCATGTTAAACACTTAACATCTCCTGGGATCACATGGATGATCTGAGACATGCATTTTTATTTTAAGTGAATCAACAACCTCGAAGAATTAGAATGGAGAAAGGGAAAGATAAAACCCAATCAAAACAAAAACTTCAGCCAGACAGACACCTGCAGTAGTTTATAACAACAGTTCTACCCTTCCCAGCTGCTCCCCTTCTGTTTCCCACACTCCCCAGTGGGAAGACAGGAATTATTATTTAAGGATTAATTTCAAAACCGCTTCTTGAAAAGTATTCCTGGAGGACAAAGATCTATACATAGAAGCTGACAGAAATGATCTCAATAGAATAAGAAAAGCTTGGAATATGTATTACCTTTAATAAAGATCACAGAGTTATTTATTTTGAGGAGCTTTCTTTTAAATTTCCAATAATTAGGAACACCTGATTTAATGTACAAACTAACTAAACAAAAAGAAATCACTTCATCTTCCTTACGTTCACCTTACAGCATACAAAAAAATCATATCATCATTTTAAATTAAGAAATTCTGAGTTTGATTCAAAGTCAAAACATGGTATCATTCTCAAAAACAATTAATTACAATAAATTAGCATTTTCTGTGTTATTTCTTTTGTATGTGCGCCATCTCCTGGCAGTGGCTGTAAGACCAGCTATTACCTATTTGAAGAGTAGCTGCTAATGAACCATATTATATGGTCCAACTTTAAACTGCTTTGTTGCAAAATCCCAGTAAATGAAGTATTTCCACCAACTTATTCAGTAATGTGCAATAGATTCAGGCAAACCAAGAAACTATATACAAAAGCTGAAAGGAGAAGTAGTAGATAAAAGGAACAAATCAAACTAAAACCAAACCAAACCAAAACATAAAACCTCCACTTTCTAGTTTACTCAGCTTTTTAGTTTAAGGGTCTTTTTTTGCTTATTAAAACTTTGAGTTTATTAAAAAAAGGGATATAAAATGTAATGTGATCTAGTATTAACATATCATACATATTAAATCTTCTAAAAATCTTTTTTAAATCTTAAAAAAAATACTGTTCAACTCATGAATTTAGGCTGGGCATTCCTTACCTTTGTTTGAAGAACCCCCAGGATTCTCCCTCTCTTCCACAGAGTTTGACCCTTGAGAGGTATTATCCTGAGTCTCTTGTTGATGTTTCAGTTTTTGGGAGGCAGATGGAGAGTTTACCGTCTCTGGGGATTCAGAATGCCACGGAGTGCTTTCTGCTGCTGGTTTCAACCGCTCCCTTGTCTCCTTCTTTGGCTTGATTAGTTTGACTAAGGCTCTGGCCCCAATCCAGTGGTTTTTCCTGATAAAGCAGGTTTTGTGAATGGGATTCATAAAACGCTACAAGAAGTACTCCCTGAAGAAGTTTACAGCTGTGCTAAAGCCATCAAGCCATCCTACATTCTTATTTGTTTACTGTCATGAATTGGTTAGAAAGATGCAGCATGAATTTCACAGAGCTTGAGATCCTTTTCTCTCCCAAAGGCAAGATGATTTTACAGAAATATTTCTTCACCACAAGAAATGTGACAATCGTTCCCTCTGCTAGAAATCTAAACTACACATATGGACCCACATAAGACATTTTAACAGTGTTAAAAGGTCTACTACAGGAACAGACTGAGGAGGAAAGAAATGAAAACTGCTTTAAAGATGAATCCTGCTCTTTGCTAGGGCTATCAGTCAGAACTATGTGTGGTGGAGTTAGCTTGGCTCTTTTTTGTTGTTCTTAATATAATTTTTTAAAGTCCTTTCTCTCTGATGGACTGCTTATCCCCTTTGAAAGAGAAGCTCTGGAAGCTCCTACTGCTGCTTAGTCACCATACTGGGGGTCCCTCCCCCCTGCTGGGGACACGATGATATTCATCAGGGCAAAGTGGCTCTTTTCCAATTAATATGTTTCAGATCCCAGTATTAAAACAGAGGGCCCCATGTGAGGTACTGTGCTCTATATTAACACAACCTGGTCCTTCAGGGAATGGCTTGCGGAGCAAGAGTGAAGAGAGAAGTGGAGATGACACTGTCCTTATTTCAGTTGAAATTTCTGTTATCACCAGTTACGAAGAGCCCCTTCTGACCCTCACAAATCTGTACAATAACAGAACTGAACCCATATGGGACTTACTTTTTTGGAGTAGGATCATAAAACTTGTACTGATCCATTATCTTCTCTTCAAGTTTTTCCTTGTGTCTCCTTAAGGCATTCAATTTATCTCTGTGAGGGGGAAAAGCACATTCTGAAACATCTGTACAAAATTAAGCATAATGAAAATATTGAAGACCAAAAGCCACCAAGGGAGGAAAGAGATTGAAATATCTTCCTGTTGTGTAAGCTTCAGAATCCTACTGTCTGTTTAGAGGGAGCAAATGCAAAAGCCTACCAAACTTGCTGATGGGAGATTTTTGTGCAATAAGCATGAAACGTGAAAGAACAACAGTAGATTGGTGCTAGATTACTCACTAATAACGCAGGCAGAGTTGCTTTGGTGGGTGTTAAGATTAACCTTTTTCTGGCTTTTGAAAACTCGTTTACTCATTGTTCAGTCTTATTCACAGATTACTGAGAATTACTCAACGGTTAAGATCATTACATAGTGTGAACTTCTTGTCTAGGTGATAACTGGGTATTTTATTCCTGTTCTGCTTACTCTGTTGTAACTAGTGAAATAAATAAAGTTTGATCTTTTTAAGACTACTTTGGTCTCCTGCGAGCAGTGTCAAAGCACTTTCAGCAGTGCCATGTAATCTTACGATTTTTTTTACTCATTGTTTTATTAACCTGCACAGTGGATGTCAGGAAATCTTTTTTCATTCAAGTAGTAGGTCTAATGTACCTCCATCACAGAACTGTCAGACACCTGGATAAATATCCTTAGAGTACATTTGAAGTGTATTTAGCCAATTTCAGCAAACAATTTCTAACATTTCAACCATATAATCCAGTACTGAAATAAAAGTCAGTAACTCCCACATCATCCTGAAGTGCTTAGAGTAAAATTCTTTGGATTAAGAACACTTTTCTTCCTTCTTTCATACCTGTAAGAGAAATTCACTGCAGTGAGAACAGGATTCTTCGTAAATGTACAATATGTTTAAACAGGGTATCTCACTTAAGTGTGTCACCTTGTGCATGGGGGACACAGCGGTGAATGTTGCATCCTTAAAAAAAACATCGAAGGAAGTATTTCTTATAATGCAAATGACAAAAACTAGAGGAGTATGAGTATTTGCTGTTCTTCAGGAACCTAAATATAAAATGACTTGCATAAGTCTAAATTTTTGTTGCAACTCAGCTGTTTTCCAAGCTCTTCAGAAACCTTTGAGAAGTACCACTGGGTTTAAGAGTACAGCTTTCAGAATTAAGTTTTCCACATGGTTTCACCTATATTATTTCAAAAGAGCTGTGCTTGTCCAGGTGTGTATTGAACATCCCTTTGCAGTAAGGCAATGTGAAGAAATTTTGTAGTTTCTCCCCTTTACATATATCTCCTCCTAAACATCCCCTTTTCTAGCCAGATATCAAGTAAACCTATAATTCCCCTGCCTGTCCTTCTAATCCTGATAGATGATTTGTATTCTGTGTTTGTCTAGATGACTTTTTTAGGTTTCACAGTTCAAATCTCTAGTTTCTTACATGTACTGTTTCTGTTCTTCATGATACTGCTCCTTGTTCTCCATGTTCTGCTCCAGTAACATCTGATTCTGTTGGCTCAGCATCTGAATCTGACTCAGGAGATGATGGTTTTCTTCTTCCAGATTTCCCTTTAGACGGGACAGCAGCTATTAAACAAGACACATTAATCTCTCCTCTGCATCTGGCTTCCCTAGAAATGCACCATAATCAAGCTAACACAATAGCATAGCAACTTAGGATACAAATCGATAAACTTTGAAGTATACGGGGGTGTTGTTATGACCACATAGCTTGACCTTCTACATATAGTGTGCCAAAAACTTCACACAATGAATGTTAGCTCTCTAACAGGAACCCAGCAGTATACCTACCTATAGCTACTCACCTCACAATGGTTATCCAGCTTGGTCAGGGAGATATCCATGGACTGGTGCTGCTCCTTCAGCTCATCGTAGCGAGCCTGCCAACGATTCAGCTCCAGCTGAGAGTTGTTCAGGGAAGTTTTCAGCTCTTTAGTGTGTGAATGCAGCCCTTCATATTCTGCCTTTAGTTGGTTGTGCAAGAAATTCACCCTAAACATGAAGAAGCCAGCAGGCTTATGAAGGACACTACACAGAAAGCACCTCATATTCAAAGACCACACCATCTGTGTGCAGCTGTCACTAAATCAAACATTAAGTGCCAAAAACTAACTCCTAAAGATATTTTTATTCTAAGCATATAATAAAATTTTATTAAGAAAGTAGTAATAGCATTATAAAATATTTCAAATCTACAAAACAACTGAAAGGAAAATAGATGAAAAATAAAACTTCTACTTCCTCAATGTGTAAGAAACACAACAGAAATTTCTGAGGCACAATGTGTTTAGGAGCATTTGGATATAACAGCAGCTCTATTTGGCACAAATGAAGAACACTCATACTGATGCATGAAATATGAGCATTAAGTGCCCTGAACTGTGCAACATTGTAATGTTACAAGATGATACTGTGGCATTCTTTTATAGCTTTTGGTAAATTTAAAAATGTCTACAAATCATGAAGGCATAATATTAAATTAATAGATAAGTAAAAAACATTAATTTCTGTATCTGCTGACAGATCAGCTAAGCCTTGCTCTCTGCCAGCACTGCAATCAACATTTTGCAACATCTTCCTTTGTCCCTAGAGAAACAGCTGAAAACAGCAAGTTTGAGGAAACCTCCTTAGCAGAGCTCTGCAGCGTTCTAAAGTACACTGCAGTTGGGACAGCATATGAAACTTTCGTGACTGAACTTAGCATGTGCTTTTTAAATATGAGTCAATCTGATGTTGCTTTAACTTGATATGACCTTGGCCCCTTATTTGTACCAAACTATTTCTCAAAATGCCTTTGTAGTATGAACAGTGGCACTGAACTGGTTATAATGGAGTGAGCCCCAGTAGGGATACAGGTTGGCGGGGGAGGGCATGTTTACTGCTACATTATGTAAAGTTCAGATGTTAGCTCACAAAAGGGGTTTTGACATGAGTTAACAGTTACCCAGTGATCATAGGAATCACTAAGCCCACTTTTAACAACAGGAACCAAGCCTCTTTCGAGTATTAACAAATGGCAGCTTTCTCTGTGCAACAGAAAATAAACAGAAATGTTAACTCCTAGAACTAAATCATACTGCGTAAAAAACATAACAGTTCTCCTCAAGGGAAAAAAACTGGGTAGGAACCATTTCACACAACTCTAGATATTATTGGGGGTTTGGGGTATTTGTAGTTCTACTTAAAGACAAGCACTTGGAAACAACTTATTACAGAAACGCTTGTGAACTGAACCACATGTGGAAGCTTATTTTGAATGAGTAAAAGTCCCTTCATGTTTGAAGCACAGGATAACAGTACTTGTTGACAGTGTCCATGAAGCTGATAAATGAGTTAAACAAAATGATCAAACTAACAAGACAGAAATTGAGAAAAATTAACAGACACATTAATGAAGGTATTCTGGAGCTACAGTTAACACAATACAGCAAAACAACTGTGTGTTTTGCATAATTGACTTTTTAATGACATATACAAGAATTTAGCAAGGGAACCATACCTGTCCAATTCCTCCCTTAGCTTCTGATTTTCCCCAGTGGTTATTGCATTTGATCTCCTCTCTTGTTGCAGAACTTCTCTCTCAGTTTTTAAAACTATTTCCAACTCTTCCAGTTCTGCCTTGTGTTTCATTAAACTGTTGTATCTGCAAAAAGCAGAGTAGCATACTCTCAGCTTTCATTTAAACATTTTTCTTCCTCTAGTGTAAGATTTTTAATAGGTAACACCACAAAGACCAGAAAGGAATTTTTTCCTGCCTGCTTAATTTCATATACATTTGTGTGGTTAAACATTTACCAAGGCTGAAGAATTCCACACTATGCATGGAAATTCAGCTTAGTCTGTAAGTCAACAGGGAGGCTTTTAGAAATAAAATGCATTTTTTTAAGCAAACTGGAATGCAATTGCCAGAACCTTATTTCAATTTGAGATTCTGATCATTTGGTAAAAAGCATGCAAGTCTCCAGGGTGAGTGGAAACTGCACCATTAAACTGGAATCCCATTTGCAAATAATTGTCAGTGGCAGGTTTCAAAAACCCAACTAAACAGCAGAAAGCAGCAGCCAAAAAGCAACAAGAAAGCAGTGGAATGAGCAATAGTTTATTAGGTAACAACCTAATGCATACTAGGTTATATGCATAGCTAAAAGCATCCTGCATAGGTAACAATCTCCTGCATATTCCAGGCAGATGATGAGGCTATTATCAGTGAGATGAGAGCATCACACCTTTAAGTAGGGGCTGACCCACCTGCTTGAGTGGCTCTACTTGTTCACTACTGAGAAACCCAAGAGCAACAGCAGTGTTCATGTCCAGGCTTCCATTGTTACTTGGTTTATACAATGTGTGCATAAATCATTCAAGGCAGGGAGATGGGCAGAGACAGAGCGCAGATGCCATTGACTATGTCTTTAATTTCTATCTCTGGAATGCTAAAATAACAGAGATGTGTAACAACTCCCCCAATACTTTCCACAGGCATCAATTAGGCAGGCTTAGCCTCCCTGAGCTGCTACACTGCCTGCATTCAGAAAATGCTGCAAAGAATGAGCTGGCTTAAGACCACTTTGCAAAACAGCAGGCTGTTCTCAGATTTTTTTTTTTCCTCTGGTGGCCTCTGTCAGGGTCTGTGCCCATACACACACATCAGCAGAAGCCACTGGTGACACTGGTGCAGTGAATCTCAAAAGTCATCATTTTTCTGTGACTGTGATAAAAGGATATTGCCCTGAAATATCCCTGGGCAGATACACCTGTGCCAGTCATGGAGAAACATACTTCTAAGCAATTTTAAACCAGCAACTAGTTGGAAGATGCAGCATTGCTTGAAAAACCTAGAGACAACAAGCATCATCTATCTGCGACTCTCATCCCAGCGGAGATGAATGCAGAGCATAGTTACTCTGCAGTCACGAAAACTTCAGAACAAAAGCAGCAGACAGCACCAAATACACTGCCTCCTTCCAACTTGTTTTTCTTTCAGGCTACCATTCCCTTCATCCCAGGGTCAAATTGCAGCCTGTCCCAAATTCCAGTCCATTGAAGGGCCACACAGAAAAGTACCTGTCTCCCAGACAAAAGCTGCTTTTTGCTATTCATTCCCAGTAACAGCAGTGGAGTTTAATTAACCTTATTTATTTATTTTCTTCCTCCATTCAGCTCCAGGACATTTCAAATTCAATGTCCATACAACAAATGGAAGAATCTGAAAGCAGAGGAAGGTTTCACATACAGCTCCAAGGATTTAAAACAGACTGCGTGCCAATCCAGAGTCTGAGAAGACAAACTCCACAGTCAGTCCCTTGGCAGAGATTATGCAGAAACTGTGTTGTGAATTCTTTTGCCATTTCTGTATGATAGGGCTACTCTGTTCATTTTTATCCAAGCTCTCTATTTTTTAAAGAGGGCTACTTAGAGAGAAGCAGTATACTGGTCCAGTTTCACTGGTTTGGCCCAGCTCTACATGCTGCCTTTGAGCATGAGAACCCCTGAGGTAGACCACAGCTGGTACCCTAGATATTAGGTGAAAGGCAAGAAAGAAGTGACTGTCTGTAAAAATGCAAGTAATACTGCATCTCTGGAGCCCTAATGAAATCCCCAGGCAAAATTTTCTCGTAGTCCAGATTCAGCATGGAGTCTACCATTTGAGCAGGATTTGTGCAGCCTGACAGGCTCTACCACTTGGGGCAAGGTTACCCATTCTGTAGGCTATTCAACACTCATGTTCACTCCACTTCTCTAAGCATCAGGCACTTGGACAGAGGGGTTTTAAAAAGATTTTCTTACACATGCAAGTGAAATACATTTTGGCTCTGATGCAATCCATTCCTGGGACTGAACGATCATATTCCTCTTTACTCCTTTTGGTTTTCACTCTTTCTGCTGCTCTGTTAGGAGAAATACTGTGGGTAGGTATTTGTGACTGAGAGAACTTTAAAAATGCTCAGCTATGATAAAAGACACGTGGCAAAAGGAACCCAGAAAAGTAACTACCAGCCAGCATTGGTAACATAATAATACAAGTACCTGCAATATGTAACCCTCCACAGCAGAGATTCTGTTTTTCCAGTGAGATGAGTTTTTCCAGTGTCTCTGCAGGATTAGACTTCTCCAGAGTAAGCCACAAAGAAATGCTCAAGGATCTGCTAATCAATTGTGGCTAGTAAGTTACTACCTCCCCTTATAAAAATCAAGTATGTAAAGCAATTTAATAAAATGCAGCAAAAGAGTCCAGCCTTCCTGTGTTCACTGAGACGGTCAGCCAAACACCACAAAGTCAAGAAACTGCTATTAATGGTAAATGATCCTAACATACTAACTCTCCTTTTATTGCTAAGTCAAACCCACATGTCTGTGGTTTGCTGGGCTATGACAGGCCATTTCACTGCAGTTACACACAACCCATTATTAAACCCCCACTGCAGTGCTAATACTGTGCAGATAGAGCCATGGGAGGTTTAATGAGGTTTGCTCAGGTGCTGAAAATATTCTGTGGTTAGACTGCATCACAGTGAACTACACAAACCTCAGGGATCTTGGCTGTACATGGTGTTATGAGTCCACAAGCTAACTAAAGTTGCTGTGGATTTTTTTTTAGACAAGTTGCAGTCATAGGTTTATGCAGGAGTGCAAACCTGCCTTAAGCAAGAGAATTATGATTACAGTGCTGTCACCAACTGAGAAAAAACAATTACCTTGGAGCTGGGACAAGCAAACCCCGTCTCTTAAATCCTGCACAAGCAAACTTCTTGGATGCACTGAGCTGCTCTGGGAAAATTTAGCAGGTGGTACATTCCAGCTGAAGTTGAAAGTAAGATATTTCATCTTAGCAGTTAAATGCCTCAGCATGGCAGAAGAAAACAGTTTTCTTGCAGCTGTTTTTCTAACTTTCTCCTCTCTGCTCCCTCAGCCAGCTGAACTGCACATAGCACATGATGGAGGGAGAATAAAACACACACACAAAAAAAGCGGCTTGTCTTTTTTTTCTGGCAGCCAAATGAAGACACAGACTGTCCTTGAACAAATCACCTTGCTAAGTATTTTTTGAGACTGATCTGCTGAGGAGGACACTGCACTCTTAAAACTGCCAAAATCAACCTGCTTTGAGTATAGAAAAGGCCACCATCTGCTCCCCTGCAACATCTCTCACTGGCAGTCACATCTCGGTAACAGACAGTTCAAATTCTTAATGTTTACAATGGTGACCTGAGCGCTTATCACTAGAGATAACCTGGTTTTAGAAAACCACTTTTTTCTCAGGCTAGAACTGTTTAATAATTGGTACTCATCAAGAAAAGAAAGAACCCAACTGCCTCAACACACCACAGTGTGATAATCTCAAGCAAAGCCTGAATCAAGGAGAACCGTTAATCAGTCTGAGAGAGACTTGGTAAGCAGAAACAGTGTCTGTGTAATCACTTACAGCTCATTTAGTTGACAGCCAAGCAGCTGTCCTGTCAAACAGCCCTGGCGGATATTTTAATCACAATAGGTTTATTTCTGTACTTTACCAAAATCTACCGCACATGTACATTGTATTGCCAGCTCTTTAGTCTTTGGGAAAGAGAAGTCTAACACCAGTTTTTAGTCCACCCTCAAAGATCACCATTGAGTTGCTCTGAACCCAACTCATGGTCTTGCATAGAAACTGAACCTAAATACAGTATTTTGAGGAAAATCACTGAATTGTGTAAGAGAAGTTTTGAGGCATAGGCAGAGCAACATTTATATAGTCGTACATTATATATATTGTTTTATCCATGCACAGTTGTCAGAAAATTACAGTGACTAGAGACTAAACAATAAACAGATTACTCTGATTTCACAATTCAATTGAAGGTCCAGAAGCAAAAGCCTTAGACTGTAAGAACTAGAAGAAAATAAATAATGCATCACTATTTCATAGCTAGCTCAATACGGCTTCCTTCAGAGAGCCTCCTTTGTCATGAGATTGATGCCACACACAATCTTCAATGATTTAAATTTCTCAAGATACATACTACTCACACATAGGTAATTACCTAGGTCACTTGCAGACCTTACTGTATGACTAGCAAAGATACCCCACACAGTAGAACTGGGAGAATCTTTTTAAGACTGCATGTTATTATAGCACAGATCCTTAAATGTAGTAAAGCCATTTAAGCTACTTCTGAGAAAGTATCCCCAAGACCCAAGCCCATATTTGCTAAATATCACCAGAGTCATCTGTGGTCTGCCACCTTCAGAGTCTAAAATCTACAGCTTTGCAAATATTTTCATCCAATCTCCTAATGACGGCAAGAATGAGAAGACACTTTTTCAGGGGAACAACTTAGGAGCTTCCATTTTTAACTGGAGACCAACATTTAAGGCTGAAATTGTAACATGGGGACATCCAACTACACTACACCCCTGAGCAGTGAGCGTACCTCTCACCCAGACCTTTGTGCTCCAGATCCAGGTTTTTGTGTAATGTTTTCAGGCAGCTGTGCTGGTTTATTAGCATTTCATATTCTGCAGACTGCCGTTCATGCAGTGAAGCAAGGTGTTCATGGTCCTGAAGCAATGACTCATACTCAGCTTTCAGCTGCTCCTTCTGTTTCAGTAGATTTTCATTCTCATTTTCCTTGGCTGTCTGCTGATTTTGAAGTAAAGCATTCTGGGCCATCAGTGAAGCACTCTGGGAGCTGAGGGTTGAATTTTCTACCTAAAGTTTCTCAAATAAAAAGCAAGCGTTACTTATTTACACCTACTGGTACATACAACAAACATGTAGTAGCAGCTTGTGTCTGTATGGAGCTAATCAAGAATGCATCCATTGCTTTGTAGACTTAAGATATCTATGGACAACTTGGCATCATTTTGGTATTATTGCTGGTAGTATGCACCATATAGAGCCATGCTATCAGCAGTCTGAAAAGTATCAGAGTAACCTCCAAACTGAAAAAACACTGTTTTACTAGCAGAAGCTCTTGAGACTGAAGACCAAGATGAGCTGGAATACTCGCAACTCAACTGCATCTCTGACAATCATGTACAAAGCCAAAAGCTATCCCATGTTTGCATACAAGTAATGAAAACTTAAGTTCACCCAAACTCAAAAAAATTAACTGCACCACTGTGTTTGGGGGCAGCACTCCTAACAAGTCTGGTTTTAGTAGATAGGTAATGCATTCGTTTTGTATGTTGGTTATATACTTCAATTACAGGCGAGACATAATTAAAAAGAATAAAAAAAAAATCTGTGAACATGCAAGAGGAAAAGCTTAAAAAGGGAAATTCACATAAAAAAAAATTAGAGCTAACCCAATGTCGTCCTTTAAAACTGTTCTCTTTCTGAAGCTAAGCTTATTTTTGCAAAATTCAAGTAATGTTTAAGAGTATCTTTTTTCCACTGGCAACTTCAACATTCTGTCTGGAAGTATGAAAATTGTGATTGGAACTCATTGCTACAACACCTCTTGGGAGCTGACTTTTGTCATCTTCCCATTTCTCCAAGCTCTTTCACAGGCACAGCATTAACAGAAAAAAAGAGCAAAGATCTTTTATTCCAGAAATGCAGCTTCTGGAACAACACACCTGGATTTTGCTGTATTGATTTTAAAAACTTATCTCTAAATAACTACCTTCTTAACAAAGGCTACCAGACGTTAGCTACAGAGTCGATTTCCATCCTAGTTTGGAAAAATTCAGACCTCAAGCTAAGCTCCACCTTATGGGCCTCATCTTTACATCACTACATCAGCCTACCAGTACAAACATTTTCTTATTAGCTGTCATCTTCTCCACACTACTATAATCAAATCCAGTCTCCTGGCACAGAAGCGCAAGGTTGTCCTGACCTGGAGTTTGGCCGTCTGTGTCTGCAGAGCAGTGTTGTGCTCCTGAAGGAAGACGTTTTGCTTCTGTAGTGTCAGGATCTGATTGTTGAAGGAGACATTCTGTGTTTCTAAATGCTTCAGCTGTTCTTTAAGCAGCTGCTTCTCAGCATGCAGGGCTGCATTCTGAAAGAGAGATGGCATTGAAGCTGTGACAGGAACAAATGAAACAGCTGTCCTGATCATTTGGAGTCCTATCAAAGATGAGAACCAATTAGTGATGATCATTCTGCAGCAAACGTGCAAAAGCAAACTCTTCCTAGCATTGAATGAAGATAGGACAGATGTTACACACAGGATTAATCCCTGCAATGATGTTACACAAGACATATATAGCATTATAATCCCATGCAGTCCTAAGAGATACCCAAGGAATTTGGTAGACTCATGTGCTCCAGAAAACCCACCAGATTCCTACAAGCTCAAAAATCCAGCTCCCAGCAACCCACTCATGATCACAAGGGTAGTTTGTGGGATAACAGGAAACAGGAGAAGGCTTACATTCCTTTCCAGTTCAATTGCCCTGTCCTTCAGTTTCAGCAGCTCCATGGTAGCCTCTCTGTGCCCCGTTTCCAATTTCTCATTCATTTGGTGGTTGGGAATGAGTTTCTCTGCAGAATACCTCAGTGACTTCTGAGCATACTGCCCATCCTGTTGAGTCTGCTTAAGTGCATCAAAGTCCTTCTTCACCTGCAAAGGCAACAAGCAACAACCTTCAACACTGATATTATAACAGTGGGATTTTTACATTAATAATGACGGAGTATGCAGTTCCTCTCTTGCACTGTAGGGACTTTAAGGGATTCAACAACCATTACCCTCACTTCACAGATGGGGAAACTGAGACACAGACAGGTGGAGGAACCCATGTCTCTTGGCCTCCAGTCAGGTGCCCTTGGACTCAAGCTCAGTCACCTAACAACCAGACTGTTCTTAGGTGAGATGTTTCAACTGCAGTCTTCCTCAGCCTATGCTTTCATTAAACAAGGCAGAAAAACAAGACCGTGGCAATGAAAAAAACCATGGGAAAACAGAGATCTGCAAATGGTGGTTATGTAAAAAAACCTCCTGCCATGTCCCCAGACCAATAATTTTTCTGAAATTGGTGCTATTATATAGAAAGGTACAAGAGAAAGCAGTCCAGTCAAAAAAGGTTTTTGGGAAGTGCAGGTATGGGGCGGGGGGGGGGGGAAGGGCGGAGTTAACTTGGGTTTGCTGAGTATTAAAGAAAACAAAAACATGTCAATGTGCAGAACCACATCATGAACAACTAAAATTCAGTTAACCTCTTACCATATTTAGATCATTCTGTAACTGTTGGTTCAAGTTCAGAGAGTCTTTCACTTGAGCCTCCAGCATTGCAATCTTTTCCTCTTTCACAGCTAGTGTTGTTTTTAGTGCCGATTCTGTTTTGCTCTCCAGAATCTTGTATTTTCTGAAAGACATGAGAATAGCTTTCCAATGTCTGCCCCTAGGATATAAGCCACCATCTATATAGGAGACTTCACTTTTGCCCATTCCAAATCTCACCATGTTACATTATATGTATTTGCTTCTTCAGGAAAATGCTTTCCTCTGCTGCTGCAGACCGCTACTGATATATTATAGCTGGGGAACCTGCTCTTGGAAAATCCAATCAATTTTAATAGAGGTAACACCAGTATGGTTCTACAGAAATATCTAAGAGCTATGTAACTTAAAATAAGATTTTCTCTTTTTCCCATAATTACACTACATAAATTTCTTCTCAAGGCTCTTTTGCGCATTCTTGACAAGGAGAAAAATCCGCAGTAGACTCTAAAGTCTCCTATGAGATGGGTATGTTTCTCTAATCAGGTCTTACCAAGAGGCCTATATACACATGGATTGTTGGGATTTCTTTGTTCATTACTATAGGACTTGCAAAGGAATTTCTTGCAATCAGGAATTTCTTCGCCAATATCTATGTTTATATTAACAGGTGGTTGCATCACCACTTACGTGGAGTAATGACAGACACTGTTTAACAGACACTATTATTACTTGTAAAGAGAATATGAGGAGGAATACACACTGAAATAGCTACCCAGCTACTCTACTGGAGAGCAGAGGGGGACTGTAGTAACACTGGCTGGCATGGAGAGAGAAAATAGCATCCAAGAAAAAGTTTTGCAAAACTTGCAGTATACTGCCAAGCTTGCAAGAAAAACATATGCTTTATGTCCAAAATTGGTAAGGGTAATTGGAGTGAGACAGATGAGAACCAAAAAGAAAGGCAAAGGGCTTGCGTTAGGCTGAGAAAAAGCCTGCAGAGTCAAAAGAATGACTAAGAGAACTCCGTTTCCTTACGTGTCATCATTGCCGTTGTCATCCTGTAGTAGCAGCTCTTTGTTCAATCCTATCTTCTCAAGTTCCTGGCTCAGTTTGTCCAGCTCACTAGACAACTGTTGACTCTTCAGCTTCTCCAGAACCAAATCCTGTAACAGCACTAACGTGATTAGTTACTGTGCAAAGGGTGGTTATAGTTCTCCAGCACTATAGATTCTTTTAAAAAGTACTGAAAAAGTCATTGGATAAAATCCTACTTCCAAGAAGGTCAGCTAAAATTCTTTGTCAGTGACAGCTGAATGCAAAATTAAACTGATTGCTTTTATTTATAGTTTACTTGGAATAAATCTGAAGAATGCTTCTTTTGGCCTTTGTCTCGCTCACTGTACTGAACTGCTTCTGCCAACACTGGCATCCTGCCCACCCAAAAGAGGGAACGTGTAGAGGCCACGAGACATCCTGTCATTGTGCCACAGAAGGGATGTGCGCAGGTCAGCGGACACCAGCAGAGGGAGTTCCCACCTCTCAGCTAGGACAAAAAGCCCTCCTAAAAAGCCCAGCCAACACTGGCACGCACACAGAGGAGTGACAGGACTCCAGTATGAAAGTTTCCTGAGATAATACGGTTAAGAAGTTATTACCAGGGGACTTGGTAACAGTGCATTTTCACTATTGACTCTGAGTTTCTGACATATGGTAAACTACTGCTAAAATTAAAAAAGCATAATTACGCTGTCGCGTAAAAGACAGTACAGCTCTGGAGACTGGAGACCTTGGTCACTTATTCTGGCATCTACTGGCCCATTCTGGTTTCATTTAGGTTAATTTGGAAGAAACTTAAGCAGAATCAGACAAGGAAGTCATACAAGGAGGGGATTAATGGAGTTGTACCAGAAGGTATATTGGGAAAATGCTTTGCTGTTATGCCCGTGAAGTAGTCTGTGTGGAAATGGCCTGAGAAAACATAATACCAGCCTGCATGTTTAAAAGGGACAAATCATTTTTGGTGCATAGCCAAGTTCAAAGATTCCTACCATTCAAAATTCTCTGAAATGCAAATGTACCACAGAGAACTACATTGCTCATGTTTCTGCTCAAAAGTTGTCTTAAACAAGGCACGAAGAAAGAACAACAAAGTTACTGAAGCACTTCAAGTAAGAAAAAATATTATCCTGGATATCAAACAGAAGGAAGAACAAAATTTTAAAAAAATACTTTGTTAAACATAAACTGTAGGTATTCAGTAGTCCTCAGATATCACAAATTTAACCACATATTCATTCACACGGCAAGAAAAAAAAAGGTAAGGGTAAGGTCAGTGCCAGCCCGCAGTCTTTAAACAGGTCACTTCAACATCCATGAACTCCCTTCTGTAGAATCTATATAAAGTAACTAAGGAAAAGAAGATGCGCTTCTGTATGGGTCTGCACCACTGGAAATTTGCAAAAGTCTGAGAAGGTAAAGATTAAAAAGAAGCCTTTTCAGAAATGCTATTATTTTATTTATTTTTAAGGAAAGTTGGATAGAAGCACAACTTGGGACTGTTTCAAATGTTTCTGATATTTTTCCTCCTCAAAATTACACTAATGCTTCAAAACCTAAAATAAAACTAAATCTTCAAGTAAGTAATTGCTTACTGAATTAGTCTCGCTGAACTTATTTCACTGAGCTACTGCAGCACTGAGCATTTTCCTTTGAATGCTCTTTCACAGGAAATCCTGTTTCCAGCAGGACAACAGCAGCTGGGGCAGGCAATGAGAGCGAGTTGCAATAACCTGAATCATCTCATAGGCCATTTGTAAGAGTGTCAGATTCTGGCACACACATCACTAGTTTGCTAATGTCCTAATGCTAATTGTGTATTTTTAAAAGATCACTATTAGGAAAAGTGCGATTACTGCATTCTGCAATGGAGAGGAGTGCTGGAAGAGATTGCTGTTGCTTAACAACAGAGCTGCTTAGCATGCTCTCACTCTGCAGGGAAGCTTTTGGGGAAAAACGCTGTAGGTAGTTGTAAAGCAAAAACTTGGTGCAGCTGTTATTGAAAGGGTTAGGTTGGTCATCTAGGACGGTTCTTGTTTTAGCTAAGTCCATTTTAGAACAGCGATGTTAATGTATCCTCAACAAGTGCTCTAATTTCTAGGCTTAAGAGTCAATCTCCCCTGCTGGAGCTCTCATGTTAGCAAACAATTTTGTGGTCACAGGGTTAGTGAAAGTATCAAAGTCTTTGTTTTACAGCTACCACGTGGGAGCTGTGTTAAAACCCTATTCTGCTTGAAAAAAGATGTCATTTGGAGACATAATGTTTGTGGACACAAAGTGGTACATTGCAGTTTTTAGCAGGTTCCACTTTCCAAGGCAACACTACCAAGTGACGACTGTTAAGGCTGTGAAGATCTCCTGGCTCATGTATTAAATAGACATGGAACAGATGTCTCCTTTTGGTACTTCACAGAGCTGAAATAAAAAGTAGCATCATATTGAAACCAGTAGTACTATTTTGCTTACCTCTCTCAATGTAGCTAGCGTTCTTTTATCAATTGTAACTTGCTTTATGAGATCTTTATTGTCCTTTTCAAATTCTTTCAGCTTATTAGATGAATCTCTGAATCGAGCAATTTCCTTTTCTAATGTCTTGTTTTCTTTCTCAGCAACTGCCAACTTTACTGTACTATCATCCAAAATAGCATCTTTCAGCTCCACCTGCTGCCAAAGCCTTTTTGTTTCTTTCTCTAGCATTTTTTTATCTTTCTCAAGCTGAGACATTTCTTGTTCTAGGGCTTTGTTCTCATTTTCTAACCTCTCTAACCGTTTGGCAGAAATCTTTAGCTCCTCAAGGTTCCTCTGGAGGACCTGATTTTCACTCTCCATTCCCTGTACTTCTTTTTCTAACTCCTGGATCTTTTTGCTGCTGTTCTCCACGATTTGCTGAAGTCTCTGGTTTTCAGAGTTGACACTCTGATAGCTTAGCTCCAGCCTCTCTGATTTCTTGCTCATTGCTTTTAACATTTCCACATTCTTTCTTAAGTCCTCTTTCTCCCTCTCCAAATCTTTATTTTCTGCTTCTATTTGTGCCATTTTAGTGCTGGTAAATCTCATGGTCTCCACTACTCTCCTAAGCTCCAGATTTTCTTCATCCAATTGTTTGTTGTCCCTTTCCAGGTCCCCAAGACGGATGGAAATATTCTGTAATGTGTCCAGGGATTTTCTTAGCTTCCTGTTTTCCACTTCCAGATCCCCATTCTCCTGCTCGAGAACTTCCACTTTTTCTGTCACTATTTTCATCGCTGCTGCCTTCTTTGTGAGCTGTTCATTCTCCCTCTCCAGCCGATGAAGCTCTTTTTCCATTTCTTCCACTCTTTCCACTTTTTCTTTAACCTGGTCAAAATCCTTTTGCAATTGTTTCTTCTCAAACTCCAGCTTGCTCAGTTTACTACTAGTCTCTGTAACTGTTTCATGAAGGATCTTGTTCTCTTTTTCAATGTCTTTTACTCTTGCCTCACTGCTCACTTGAGATCTTTGTCTCAGAGATAAGACCACTTGATTAAGGTGATCATTTTCTTGTTTAAGGTCCTTTATCTAAATAAACAATAAAAAAGTCATGCAAATGTTACTCACCTACCTTACGAAGTGCAGTATAATTTAGTCCTGAAGCAAACAGATGATTGTTAGCAAAACCACATCCATTTAATCCAAGACAAATTTCTCAACAGTGTTCCCTGATTAAAACCAACAACCCAAACTAATGAAAAAATTGTTATCTCTGGTAACCCATGATTTTAACGAATTAAAAATAGTGCTATATTCCTGCTACCAGCTAAGAAGGTCAAGGCAGAAGGACAAAGTAGAAGGGATCTTCAGAGAACACCTTGGAGAAGATACTTTGTTAGGAATCATTCCTAATAAAGAATATCTTTCTGTCTAGGTTTACATTCCTCTTTGGGATCTGAAGACACAAATTATCTCTGATAAGGCGTCAGAAACCCCAAAACTTTTGAAAATTTATAGCAGTTATAGATCTCATTAAGGACATACTTTCTGTAAGAACAGTACATTTACTTACTCCACAGGTCAAATTTCAGCTGAAGCAATTGTGATTTAGACTGCAGTTTGTATTTGATTCTTATCTAGACAACATCCACAAAAATCAAAAAGGACTTAGACCTGAAAAAAATCAGAATCTGCCCTTTTCTGACAATTGAGGATACTTCTGGTTTTACTTCCTGCCCTACCTGTGAGGCATTCATAAATTCTTACCACTAAGAGTCTGTATGTGTCCTAACTGAAATGTAGGACTCCGGTGGTAAAGTGCAGTTTCCCAGGCAGAAGTCTGGGTAAGAATCCTTCAAGATGAAAAGCACTGCACAAATAAGACATTTTTTTATTTAATCTTCACCCTACCAAACTTGGGAGTAAATTTTAATACAGGTTGAAAATATACAGACCAGTCTCAAATGATCTGTGTCTCTATTTTCTTCACTAGTCAAATTAATACAGATGATACCTTGCACAAACCTATAATAGGATAGTTTCAAGGCATTACACATGAACTGCAGCACAGTAGTAAAAGCTAAAGGGCATTTAAAATATCAATCCAGAAGACATAAATGCTCTCTCAGCATCTGTTTAAAATAGAGCAAAAAAGGTTGGGTGGCTTAAAAAAGCCTAACTAAACCAATCAGGACATACAGCTGGCAGAAAACCAATCTTCTGCAATAAAATGGGGTTTTATTTGCACATCCTAAAACCAGTTGGCATCCCATTTAGTTAAGATCCAGGGCTTTCTTCCCCAAAGAGGGAAGGTCTGTCCTTACAACAGCCTGAAGATCCCCCTATGGTAATAGAGGCAGTAGCTAGCAAAGCATGCTGGGCTTTTTTGCTTGAAGAAGCCTTTTACCTACCTACCTTTGAACAAGTTCAACCTGCACTTAATAGCTCTCAAATTGCCCTATCTCCCTGAGAACTAGATGCTCTAAATGACATCACTAAATTACCACTACTGAGCATACACTTTTCTATTACATTTGTGAAGTTTGCACCTGTCTGTCTTTGTCAGCTTTTAGAGTCTCCATGATGACTTGTAGCTGTTCCTTATCTTTTATCAGCTCCTCGCTCAAGGTCTCCAGATCTTGATTACTTTGCTTCTCTTTTTCAATTTGATTTTGCAGCTTCTCAATCTGCATGGAGAACACACCAAAACGCATCAGCCACAGCTTGACAGAATGACTGTTTGCACTTTAAGTTATTTTGAAGACCAGAGAGGAATGAGATGGGGACTATGGCTGAAAGATGTAATGCTTCCCTTCTGCAGCTCGCCAGTTTCAGAGGACGAAATGGACTGTTTTGTTTTTCTCACAGTGCCAAGAATCTCCTTCATGCCTTAAGATGAGAGCATATAAAGTACAGCAGTAAGAAATGCTTCACCTGCCTGCCTGAAGGCCCCGTTATGCTCCTGTTGTCAGTGATTAAGAGTCTGATGCTCACCTTTCTGAGGGACTTGCCTCCTCCTAGCCTCTCCATCATGGATGGCCTTAATCTACCAGTGAATGTGGAGAAAGTTATTGAGACAATTCAGTGAGCAATAGAACTAAAAAAAAAAAAAAAAAAAATCAGGAACAGAGGAAAAGCACTGGAGTTTCCAAGTTTACCTTCCCTCTCCCTGTGCTCTGTTGGCCCTCTGCTTTCCCCAGCAGGTGACAAAACTGGATTTGAAAGATTTGTGAATAAGGTCAAGTCCTACAATGAACATTGTCTTCTTACTCCGTCCTTCTGAAAGTTGTACTCATAATGCGCTAAGCACTGAAAAGCAGTAGCTCTTCAGTATTCAGAAGCAAGAAGTTCAGAGAGCTAGGCTCCCCAAGTTGGGAAGTATTCCTTTTTATGCTTGTAAAGTACTATGAGCACCTACAGTTCTGCACAAGTATCAGCCCATTTTTTTTTGTGTTGGTATTATGAACTTTGCCAACAGTGGAAAATGTCAATGAAAAAGGTATTAACAATAATTCTTACAAGTGGGAAATAGCTGGAGGCTGGGCTCTGCCTATGTCAACATGTGCCTCATTACAGGAAGTGTTTAAACAAGCAGGGGCTGCCCAGATTGGAGATAAGAGGGGCTTAACAGTTAGAAATGTAACCATGTTAAGGTTCATTGGTCTCAAAGGAGCTGTTCAGAGAAAGCTGGAACAAACTCAGTAACTCAGCAATAGCTGGTCTTCATTAGCACCTCCCAGAAAACTGGAGGCAAGTAAGAAACTACTGTTTACAGCTTGTTTCAGTCCACGAAGTCAGGAATGCAAAGAAAACAGATAGGTACTTGGACTGCTACTACTTGACTGTGCCTGAAAGGAGGGTTTTCTATTATTAACTCCTCTGAAAACCTTACAAGAAAGAAAAAAAAAGATGTATGTGACTTTTCCTTCATATCATCTCCTCTTGTACTATCTGAATAATCCTTTTCTGGCTACATATTCCTTCCAAGCACTAGATCAGTAGATAGCCAAGCATACTCGAACAACAATTTTTGAAAGTCTCAGACAGTGGAAGAAATCTGACTCTAGTTAAACAACTTTAGGAAGGCAAGATTTTACTATGGGTATCTCAGGGAAGTTACAAAAAAACCCTACAGGCACAAAACATTTGAGAAAAACATTTATCTCTTGTCCTGTGACTTTATATGTGCTTGTCTTTAACAGTCCTTAAGAACTGTTGCCTTCTCCTCTGCCTACTGTAGTAACCATTCTGCAGTGAATCAGAAAGACTTCCCCTATTATCATCCTCTCTCTGCTAGCACACCTCCCTGTGGACATGCATACCCTCTAATTAAGGGCATACATGTGTGAGAGAAATACAAAAACAGGTTAGAGAAAAAGAAGATTAAAAAAAAATACAAACATCTCAAATCAAGATTATTTTACATATGATGTATCAGGTCTCTGTACACTGAGAGACAACTGTATGTCTCAGACTACAGAATACTGTCTACTACCTTTTTTTACCAAATCTCCCTGAATGGGAGGTGAAGTCTATCAACAACTTGACTGGCCTGTGGTACTCAGTCAACAGCTCCCATCATGTTCTGTGTTTCTTTGGTGAAGAGTTCATGCATTTCAATTGTTCTTAATAGTAGTATTTTTTACCTGCCATTTTTTTCCTCATTGGTCTGATAAATACAGTGCTCCCCTTTCACCATACAGGCATTCCCCACTACTGTTTTTTGCCTTATTTAACTACCAGACCTGTAGGTGACCCCACCATGTCAACACATTCATCATTACCAAAAACATCAGGCTAATTCTGGAATCACAACTGTTGGCACCAATACAGTGCCATAACAAGAGGTGCCCACAGGAATGTGCCTGCGGCAAAGCCAAAGGCTGACCACATTTATTCAAGTGACTTAAATTGCTGTACACCACAGGTATCTGCTGAGTGCTTTATATGCCTTGATCTCAATTTTTAAGCATGTAAATTAGAGCTGGAGTGAATTACTCATACACAACAGGTCACAAATAGAAGTGTGGAAGGAGAAGTACAGTGAACTGAATTTTTGCAGTTCTCCTTGTTCACAGAAGAAAGCCAAGCAGCAGAACTGGTCTCTCAACTTGGCAAAAGAATCTCTCCAGAAGATGGAATGATCCTGTGATGGATACCCGTTCTCCTTGGCAGAGAAACTGGCACTCTGCTAGTTACAATCTGGTAATCCATGACCAGCATTTCATATCCAGATTCTTTTGCCCCTTGTCCTTTAAAGTATTCAGTTAGCCCACAGGCAGGCCAGAGAGGACTGAAATCTTTGTATCAATGTCTCACTCACACAGAGGTTACAGTGGTAATGGGAAAATGACAAATGAGCCTTATGTTCTGGATAATTTAACAAAGGTAGGAATGTGGAAAAAAATGACATGGACATTTTTTATACTCAGACTAGCAAGCATCCTCTTTCCCCACCGGCACTTAGCTCAATTAATCAGGGTGCAAGTTACTAGCCAGACAAAAATAAAGCTAGTGGTTGGAGGTGAACTGAGCACTGTGTTTCCCAAGGACAAGCGCTGAGCTGGCATTTGAGCTAAATGTAATCACAGTTAATTAAACAGAGTGTAAAACACAGAGATATATATAAATTTAAAAAGCAGTGACCTGCATATTTGTTACAAAGACTAAAAGAACCCACATCTTTGCAGAGAGGGAGACACTAGAGAACTTCTAATAGCTAAAAGGACAAGACAAAGACCTGATCCAGGACTATGGACAGCAAAAAAGGCTTATTTAAAAATATACTAACCTGAATTCACCTGTGTGATTTATTTCACTTATGTGGAAATAATATTAAAACTTTCAAACAAACAAAATAGTTCAATGTGGCCATGGCTTCCTTCCCTAGTAGTGACTGCCATAAAATGACAAAAAGGGACACAACAACAGTACAATCTGACAGGGGCAAACGAGCACTGAAAGACAGCTTTTATTAAACAGGAACAGTCACTTGCCTCCATGATGCACGTAAGTAGGCAGTGAAGTAGAAAGGCAACAGAATACACCAATATTAGAATGCAGTTAAACAGATGGGCCAAAAATCACGCCCAGTCTGCTGGGGAACGCGGGTGAATTCCCTGCAATCCCTCATCATTCAGGAATGCCATACAGCCCTGTGTGCACTGTGTTTAAAACCCAAAGAGCTCTCTTTGTTCCTGTGAACAAATTACCTTTTTGCTAAGCTGTTGATTTTCCTTTTCCAGTTCCACAAACTTTAGGCTGCTCTCTCTGGAGGTCAAGGAGGCATCTCTCAGCTCTTGGATTGTGTTCTGCAAACTCTGATTATCCTTCTCTAGCTTCAGTATGCGACTGGAAGCACATTCATTCAACTCAAACACAAAGGACTTTCTGGCTGTTGAAACATGAGAATCAGAAGGTGGCACTAACCAATTCACAAACATCTCCCTTCCTAGGTCATTAAGATTCACTTGTATGAAGATAATTGCAGTCAGATCCTTATCATTTCAGCTTGACTGCTATGTCAACACTTTGTTAAAAACAGAACTCATTTTCACAGATAACAGTTAAGATCTTTAATAAATAGGCAAGTAACTGAACAGATAACCATCTTAAAAGTTACTTATTTTCCTAACTCTTCTTAAAGTTGCTTTAGCCATGTTAGTAGCATGTTTAATGTTAGTAGCAAAATATACACTGATACCCTCTCATACTTCCATCAGAGGAAATAAATTGAGGCAGAAAGTAAACCACTGCGAAGTGTTTGCTAAGACAGCAAGATGGTGCACTTCCAAAAGCTAGTGAAAACTTAGGTATTCGATCACATTTAGTCACGGAAAAAATTCTTACAAAAGTGAGTTCCAATGCTTATCTTTACAGCTACTTCATCAAGAATATGCTGGATCAGGGAGGATATTTTACTACCACGTATCCAGGCACAGGACATCCATTAGAATGTTAATCATAGAAAAGTGTCTGTAGTTGAAATCTCAGAACTAACAAAATTTATGCAAGTTTTATTTGTTATTTTACTTTAAATGTTTGTAGATCAAAAGTCTCACTACCTCTCAGCCTTAACTCCCGGCATGAAAGCCTCATTGTTCTGTTAATTTCTCTGTCAGCACCTGAATCATTATAAGAGCAACCCTCTGTTTCACATGGAATAATTGCTACCCTTCACCTCAAAACCACATTTCATATGAAATTGACTTTAACATTGTCTTTAAGTCTCAGAAAATTATTCATTCCTGCTAAATAATCAGGACTATTACATACAGCACACTGAGTACTTTAGAAGTGGCAAGTTTCTGAGAATGGTAAAATCCCATTTGTCTCTTTTATGGAGCATCACCTGGAGAGTTTTGTTCAAATGAAGACTCAAATAGTGAAGTTTCAAAGTTTAATGTTCTTAGTTTTTTCAAAATCAGGCTTCCTTCACTGTTTTTTTTTTTTTCCTACTGCATATAAAAGATTACTGATGTTCTCAGTTCCTTTTACTCTCTTTTTCTTTGGTTAATCAGAGAGGTTCTGAAGGTCTAGTGCTGAAATGCTAAGCATCAGTACAGTGAAGGAATCTCATCTTTTTTCATTTTTTTTAAACCACTGTTAGGCAAATTTTGAAAGTTATGTTTGACAGAAATGAATGTTGTGATAGTTACGGAAATCGAATCAACCATTAAAAAAAAATCAGCCAGTTATTTTAACTGTATACATTTTTCAGTATCTAGTAAAAATAAATGACTTCAGCATACACTACTTCCTGGGACTTAAAGACCAGCTAATTGTCTGTACTAATTGTACTAAAGAATACTAAAGATCACAGACTCCTCCCAGCCATTCAGTTAGAAATATGCAGTGTTCAGTGTGACATTTCTGCTGTCATTTACAAAGCTTTTTTTTTTAAATTTTTATCATTTTACTTAAAAGTCGCGCTCTCAGTGACAAACAAAACAAAAGGAAAACATTTTAATGCTTTCAAAAGAAAGAAATTAGAATGAATACATTTCAGAAGTTTTGAAAAACTAAGTTCAAAGTCAAGTGGCTGAATGAGGGAAGTTGTCCAAGCTCGGACTCAACTTCTGTTCCTGTCTCAAAACAACCAACCTGTCTACTCTGAAAGAAAACACAAACACAAGAACAGCTACCCCAGCTGGTACTCACTATCTGCAAGATCTGTGCTTTTAGACAGTTGTTCTAGTTCCCAGCCTAGATGTGCAGACTCGTTCATGCTCTGTTTCTGTGCAATCTCCAAGACCATGTTCTCCTCCAGCAGCTCTTCAATTCTCTTCTTGTCCGTGTCCCGGTCCTGCACAAGACATGCATGAATGAAAATGCATATTCAGCTTATCTGTAAGATTGTTCTGTCAGTTGAACTGCTACAAGCACAACACACGTTGAGGGTAGAAGAATGTCCTTAAAGACTGTACACTTTTATATTAAAATACATGTACAGCATTTAATGTTTGTTGTGGGCCGCAGAATACAGTACAGGGACACCCAGTTGGCCCTGTTTAGAGTCAGCTCAGGTCCACAATACACTTGGAGGGAGGGTTACATGAGTGAGAACATACTGGGTGATGACTGGGCCAGTACGAACCAGGGCTAGTAAGGCAGGCTGGATTCAAGCTGTCTCCATACCTAAGCTCTTCAAAAACATGTAGCATCATGCACTGACACACTGGAAACTCTGCAGATATAACCTTGAATTCTGTAAAGCTTCTTCAACTCATCACATCAAATTTGGATCCAGTCATATGGATCAGCAAGTACCATCTGCCTCATAATTTGGGTTTTAAAATATCCAGAAAACAGATCTGGAGAATGAATCTACTGTTGCTTTGTGTGACTATTTTGGCCATTTGCATTTGTGGGACCTGAAGTGGTGCCTCAGAGGGTCCAAAATTTTCAGAAAGCATTACCCAAAATTTCACCAATTCACCCAGAAAAGCATCATTCAAAATCACCAGCCACTTTGGAAAAGCTGGAGCATCACATGACATTTACAATGCCCTGAATCAGCCATTAAACATAACTCCACACAGCACCTTCAACATCTTTGTTTCCAACAGACCCTGTTGGGAACCCTATACAGTTAAATCCCTATACAGTTAAACCTACAAGAATTCAAAACACAATGGGATAAAAGGAGGACTGTTAAGTAAAATACAAGAGATGGAAGAGTATTTATTATTTCTAGTGGGATTATAAAATAAAATATAATGTTGCTTTTTGTTTGTAGACAATAATCTGCCACTTCTTACATTTCCTTGTCTATGAAGCAATAAGCCATGTCTCCGATTTACACAGAAATAAATTTTGGAATTCTGTGTCTTTTACAGCAGTAATGGATTCTTAAAGTCACTGTAATGGCTGGGGGTTTTGTTTCCAACAAGAAAGATTATTTACCACAGTAGATTTCATTTCCTGCATCTAAGAGATTTCTACTTAACTGACAGATTTTAACATCTCCATTATCAATATGTATGAAGGCAATCTGTATTTTAAAATTGTGATATACCTTCTTGCATAAAATTAAATTCATCGGTCTCACACAAAGTATCATTGGCAACATTTACACTGTTAACATTACAATATTTCAAGAATTCATGTACACAAAATTCAAACTAAAGACCTCTTTAAAAGCACTGTTGATTTATTTGGCTGTCTCCACTGGTTTCAGCAACATGAATCTGTGACCTAGCATAAAACCAGAAGTTCAAAAAATTAGCATAATGAAAAAGAAAGGACAGACCAGCTCTACATCATGGAGTTTGGATTTCAACTGCAAGTTTTCCTTCTCTAATTCATGCAGTTTGTCACCACGAGCTCTTGCCATTGTTAGCTGTTCTTCTAGCATGGCCTTTGTTTCAATTAATATGATATTGTCCTCTCTTAACTCCTAGGGAGAAAAAGTAACAATATTAATATCTTCATATAAACTGACTTTTCAAAGACCACGTGACTTTCATAAACTGACATTGCAAAACACAGGAAAGAAATTTGACATGTTTCTCTGTTTCATAAAAAAGTTTTTATGTGACATTTTAATGGGAGATGATACTATGTTTAATTATTTGTGTCATTAATGCAAGTAAATCTAGTATTTCTTGCTGTTTTTTCCTGAATTTTAGATGTTTAATGGAGTTCCTTTTGCTTTATATGAGGCTACATTAAGAGGTGCACCAAAGAGACTCAAGACACAGACGAACAACTGTTCAATTCCAATTCCACTGTTACAATAATTTTCCTTAGCCAACTCACTGTGGTCCCCAGTCTCCCCAGTTTCAAAACAGATTATTAACTGTCAAGGGATGTTATAGTATATTCAAAACACGTTGGGGAGCACTATCCATCAATATATACTATGTCCATATCCCTGTTTCAGTGCACTTACGTGTAAATGTCTGCTTGATGAAGTTTCATTCTTTCTCTCATAAACAGAATTTTAATTCACTTAAACAAAAGAAGTTGTTTTATACTTATCACTTAACACACACCCCACTCCATCCCCAATAAACATATGAGCATTAACTGCACAAGCCATGTTGCTTATCCATTACAGCTTTTGGATCTGTTTTTGCTGAGTAAAAGATTAACTTATTCTTCTCATGTAGCCACAGCATTAGAAACAAGTTAATTATACCACACTCTGAAAGTTCCTTGCAAAGCAACAAATGAAGCTCTGTGCATTCAAGTATCTTATTTCCAGAAACATGAAATGTCTAAAGCATAAAATCTGGCCATGTATTCTTGGTCATATTTTAAACACATCTTATTAAATTATGTCTTATTTCAAGTTATAATACCTCACTGCTAGCTTTTACTCTTGTTGATCCTCAGATAAGTCTTGAGTCAGAGACAGAATTTTCTATGAAAGGAACATATCAGCATTTAAAAGATTAAATGGACACAGGAAGGATTTTTGCCCAGAAGAGTTACAATGGGGCAAGAAGCTGATTATTTGATTCTCTAAAGAAATTTCCTTTTGTCTTTCTCTGCTTTCCTCCCTATTCTCTCCACCCCTTCCCCTGCTCTAATGAAATATGCAAAAACAGAAAATGTGCACACAGGCAGGATGAAATGCTTATGGCTTAACAAGTTTATTCCTGGACAACTGTCTTCAAAATGTGAAGTCTGCTGACATCAGTGTTCATGTCTGCTCTCTCAAACCACAAACATCCAAACCAAGTAGATTCCTGAAAGATCACCAGGCATGAGCAAATCACTTTCACTGCTTAATCAGCAACTACTTTCTCATTTTTGGGGGTAGAATCAACATTAAGAAGCCTTATGTGGCTCAGTTATTTAAAAAACAAAAAGGAAAAGAGGAAAAAAAAGAAAACAGAAAAAAACCCAGAAAAAACAGAAAACAAAAAAAAGAAAACAAACAAAAAAAGGAAAACAAAAAAAAGAAAACCGAAAAAAATAAGAAAACTGTAAAGCACAAGTTAAGAGTGTTTGATGACAGCCACTCCCCTGGCTTTTTGATACTACAGGGGGCCATGATTTAATAGCCTTAAATAGCAAGTAATCTTAGTTGTTTGCTGCATCTTGACTGTAGATGGCATAATATGGAAAGTCTACCTTATGCAGTACCATATTGCCCTTGATCTCTCGGTGAGTCAGCTACTAACTTGCAAAATATGAGAGGAAAAATTTCCCTACTACAGTAGCATTAAAAGGACAAGTATGTTAATGCTTGTGAAGTGGTTCAACTACTGCAATTAAAATGTCTGAGTATGCAAGTAACTAAAATAATAATAATACTGAAACACTAATTTTATAGAACCAGCATTTCGGGCCAAGTCTGATCTAACAGGGTCACTTCAGGGTGGGCAAACTAAAAAGGCTGGCACTAAACAGATGACAGACCAGAGGAAGTACACAACACAAAATGAGCTGGGTGTCATGTAAGCTGCCACAATACCTGTAATGAAACAGCAACATGACAAGAGTTTACTTTGCTAGATCATCACACTCAATCTGGACCACAGCCCTAAGAAGTAAGGTGGTGTCTGACCTCAAAAACATGGCCTCAGAACTATCCCCAAAACTGCCTACCAAGCAGGAACTAGTTATTTTAGTGTCTCATGAAGAATCAAGCTACGTGCCAAGTACATACACATATCCAGGCTCTGGTACAAACCACACATCACTGGGAGCTGCAATATATGGACTGAAGCACTTCCCATCCAGCGCCCAGGAGGGGCGGACATGCCAGTTCAAAGTACTTCTGATGATACCTTAAATTAATAACCTGGTGGAAATGCCTGCTATGGCGAGGTCAACATTGCTTACTGGTATACCCATGATCTGAGGTTGTCTTAATATTGAAAAGTTCAGATAATTTAAATAATTACTCCATGGGAGCTTTGTAGAGTTGCGTCTCAAGGCCTGGAAGGTAGAACTCTCCTAACTAAAACATGTCAGCACTAACATCTCCCAGAAGTCACTGGGATAACATAGTTGACCTAAACATGCATCTGGCTACAAATTGCACTTGTTAGATAATCAACAGGTGGTGGTCACGGGACAGTGGTAATTCCACTGGAATTAAGGTTTATTTTTTCTTTAATTAACTAACCCACCATTATTTTGTAACTATGAGTTTATTTTTAAATTGACAGTAAAAATAGTTGGCTGTGGATTTTTTTTTAAATACACTGAATTTACTAGGCAAGAGATTAAAAAAACCCTTTGTTTTATATCACTTAAATTGTGATGGCTTAATATCCAACACATATAATTCTGCTTTTGTAATTTCTAAAATAAATTACATATTGTGGTTTGATCCTGTATCATTGTGCCTTGAAATAGCTTTTCAGCTATTCAACTATCTTCAGCTATAGAAGAATGTGCATTGTGTACTCATTATGGTTACAAATGGTTACAATTAACTCTCGGGGTAAGTGGTTGCACAATCAGGGTGTGTTGCTACTAGAAAACATTTTCAGAAACTAAAGTAGCAATCAGATTGTTTAAATCTGAAACTAGAGAATTTGCACATGCATCCAGACCTAGTTATTAAACAGAGTTCAAACCCCTCCCTTCTGGCAGTTCAGAAGCTGCCCCTGCTGAGCCATGACACAGTTAACATCTTGTGACAATCAAACATTGCCTTGGACAGCTATATGAAAACATACAAGAGATGCTTTTGGTTTTTTTAACATTCACAGAAATTCCTCCTGTCATCCTGCATGGAAATGTGATTGCAGTGAGAAGGAGGAAGAATGGGCAAGGCAGACCCCCTGGCTTTGGAAAATAATCTCATCTCCTCTCTCAGGGTTCAATGGAGAGGAATGCCAGAGGGAAGCTTTACATTGGAGAGAAGCACCTCCTTGGAGGAAGCCCTGCATTAAGTCTGCTCCTCCACATTCACAGTTATGACCTCGTTAAGCCACCCCAGCAGGAAGGTCTCCAGAGCGTAGTCATCTCCATGTTCCTTGAATGATGGTCAAATTAAAATGTAATTTCTGAACAACTTTGTCAAGACATACAGAGAACGAAAACAACACACATGCCTAAATGTGTTATGTTCACATAGAGAAAGACTTGGTCCTTTTCCACTCCTTTTTGTAACATCTCCTTAAATCTCTTCCTGCCGCCACTCCTGATTTGTATTATGTGCTTTCAGAAACTACTTGTAAGCTTGTTCGCAATTCCTAAAGCTTGTCACAGTATCATACACAGAGCATATTCCATAGCTTTTTTCTCAAACTAACAAATGTGTATGTGAACTACAAGAAGGAAATGATTTTTAAGTGCTTATTTAATAGCTTTCTGCATTGATGCACAAAGATAAACCCACTTTTTCTTCTCACTTACCAATATGGCACTGCTTATTAACAGCCCTGTCAAGAACCTATGAGCCTTAAGGTATCACATTATCACAGAAAAGCAGCTTATGCTGTACTTTATGCACCTACATTTTCATTGCTGTGCCTCTGTAAGGTTTGTTCAGGTCTTAAGACTTAGAGCTTAAGAAGCCAGCCGCAACCAGTAAATGCCATGAGATGAATCAGCACTGTACTCTCTAGTGGCAAAAATCTCTACCATGTTACAGGCCTGCACAAATCTTACAACTTGGAATTGTAAGCCAAACAGTTTTTGAGGGAGTGGGAGCAATCTGAGCAGACATTGAACTGACTGCAGCCATTAACCCTTCTTTTGGAGGGGTGGAGGACTTGAGACAGATAAGACAGAAAACTGAGGGACCACGGAAAGTTGGATACTGGTTACTATGCACAGCCCTTGTGCTACTCCATGACCATAAAAAAGACAGGATAAGTGCCCTGTGGAATCCTCTGAATGTATCAGCACGAAACAAGTGGAGTTTGCCTGACGCTGCCACTGCTCAACACTGGCGATCCATGGCTGTGCCAAGACTTGTTCAGTGATGGTAGAGGGAGTGGTGAGAATGTGAAACACTCTGGCTATTCTAGACCACAGAGCAGCCTCCAGACAGCTGTGCAATCCTGCTGCATATTAGAAGAGCTCAGCCCCTACAGCAGTGACCACTTTTGCTAAAGGGCACACTGTGGCCCAGAATTAGAAAAGTGCCATATCGATGGGAAATATTCTTTGTCTCACTACTGTATTTCAGGGAGGTATCCTTGGAGAACCTGCACTCATCTCTGACATTCAATACTTTCACCAAAAACTGACAGGGTGGAAGAGGGAGCCAGGAAAATTGGAACAAATCTGAAACTGAAGTGGATGTCTCTCTACTGAATGATAAGTTAAGCAAGATGAGCATGCAGACAGAGCAGGAAACTGCTGGCTCTAGGACAAGCAAGGAGGCTGAGAACTCAAGAACAGAAATAGCTACTCCCTTGATCTCAGATGAAGACAAGACTAAAAAACTCCTCTCCTAGTTCCAGCTAATTTATTTGAGCAGCAGGTAGAAGCTAAGTGACTCCAGTGCACAGCCACAAGGGAAATGCCAGGATGCCACGCTGATAGCTGGTGTGCCAGCTTAATGCATGACTGATTTGCCAGCTTGAGGGAGGAAAACAGAGAAAGCCAGAGCTTCATGCTTCCTCATGTAAACTGGGAATTACCGAGAGGGAAGACAGGCTTTTGTAGTCTATTACTACATTTAATAACCATCCATTTTAGTGAACCTATTCATAAGAAGCAGCAGCTAGCTGGCCCCTCAGGTTAGCGAGGGAAAGAGTCACCTACAAAGTAGAGTTTATGGAGCAGAAATAAGATCTGTGTTCTCAGCCAGAGGCCTGGCAAATGTGATTTTCAACATCACTCTTCTACCTCAGACCTGGGATTTTATCTGATTATAGTGAGGTTGTCAATTACTGAACCTCCATATGCTCAGGAAGTCTGGATATTTATTTGACTTCAGCTGAAGTGTTACGTATGTGGATTATTGAAAGTTTAGGTGAGAATCACGCAAAGAACTGAAACAACACAAAATAAGAGCAGTCTAAATTTAAAGTCAGCCCTGATATGAGCAATGAGTTTGTCTAGATGGTCTCCAAGGTCCTTTCCAACCTATGTTAATTAATGATTCCAGGATGGGCATAGCTGCAGGGGACTAAGCTGAGTAACTGGCATTACTACTGGAACAAAGCTATATATTTCTCATTGACATACACTACTCAGGGCACTAAGTAAGGTCGAAATTTTCTCTCTTTTCTACTACAAGCAACAGTTGCAAAAAGGGGTGGCTAGAATTTGTCATCTGAGGTCATGCTTAAAAATGCCCAGCCATTTTAACAACAGTTGCGTCTGCTACAAACCCCTGAGGAAAAACACCCAGACATTCATTTAGCTAATTTATACATGACATTTAAAAGGTTGGTCAAAGGAACAACTCTGGAACAGAGACATTTTACCTAAGAGTAAATTTTCAAGGCCTGGATTCTCTAGAAGAAGCATCCAGAGAAGGTCTGTCCTGTTCAGCCACATAATACTGAACTAAGCAGAGTTTATTAAAAACGAATGGGCATTTATTTTTTGTGTACACCAAGTCCTTCTTGCCACTGAAAGAAGTTTTAACCTTGCTAAGTCAATAATTATGAAGCATATTACGAAATTTCCACTTGCTCTGATGTTTTGCTATAGTCCGATCAATGACAAATGACACATGAACTGGTAACACAACAAAAGCCAAACATTAAGGATTACTCAGCAAATCTTTCTCCCAATTTTCACTTGCCTCCATGCGAGCTTTGTAAAAATCCACATCATGAAGTTTCTCTTTGCACCGAACAAGTTCCATCTCAAGTCTCTCCACACGGTTTGCCCTCTCTCTCAGAGAGTCGAGCTCATCTCTGTACGCTCGAGCAGAGCGAGCATCTGAGGCCAGGTGGATATTCTGTGAGAAGTGAGGAATAAGCAGGGAGAAAAATCTTAGTTAATACTTTAAAGCGTGTTCTTTAAACTTTATTTTTACTTATTTACTTACTTATTTTAAGTGTAGGCAAATAGCATTCCCCTGGTTCAGGAGTAAGAGAATTCTACTAGCCAGTAAATTCTCTACTAGACAGAGGTTCTTCAGCCTGTTGGGACTCTGACATTTCTAATGCCTGATGCTGCATAAGCATCAGGCATTACTAGGCTCTTTGCAAGCTGAACAGATGAGACTGCTCTCACCAGTTAAGTGGAAAGCGTAGCTTTGCTATGCCATAGCCATAATCATCAAACAGCTTGCTGGAGTAACTTGATTTCTTCATTAAAAAATAGGCAATAGTAGTATTTTTAGCCTCACACTGAAAGGCTTTTTAAAATAGGTAACACTGTCACAGTAAAACAAGCCCCTCTTACCTCTTGTTTTATTTTTTGCAGCTCTAGGGTGAGCTGCTCAACTTCATGTTTAGAATCTACAAGCTGCTCAGACTTCTCTTCCCTGAAAAGGATTAGAAAATTCTTAGTAAGAATTTATTTTTTTTTCCTGAAACAATATTGATTATATGGACACTGCTGGGAATCTGAAAAGGAAGATAGAAATCTCCCAGCATATTCCAAACATAAAGCCTCTTTGTCATGACAGCTTCATACAAGTAAGAGTTTTTTTCTCATGATACTATACACATATCATGGGTCTTAGTTTGCAGCTATTTTTATATGAAGTACCTCTGTTTAAATCTAGCTTCGCTGGCCTCTGGACTTCCCACTAATAATTAAAAGTGCAGGTAGCAGCTAGCATTTTGAATAGGGGAAGACAGAGATGAGACACAAAAAGATAAATGGAAGTAGCCATCGCTCTATGTTTAGAGAGCAGTTAAGAAAGAAGAACGATGGAACACCCATGGTAGCTTCCGACTGCTATGAATAAAAGATTTCAAAGATGTGATTCTGAGAGGTCACATGGAGGCCAGTGTACTGAAGCTGACAGGCACCTGCATTTTAACACACAAGTGTCTCTAGAAGCACAAATCACTGGTGACTCACAGCTCCTGCCGGATTCTTCTCAATTTAGCCTTCGTGTCGGCCAGCTCAACTGCAAGGTGCTGCTTGTCTTCATTAGAAAGAGGGTTGGCTGGGTTTGGTGAAGAATCTGGACTTGGTGCTTTCAGAGGACTTGGTGGTTGCTGAGACTGCAGATAATCTCTCTCCTGAGTGAGATCTACAATGACCTAGAAATACAAAGAAGTATGTAGTGTCAAGAAATAAATGGTATAATTATACATTGTTTTTCAAGTATCTAAAAAATTATGTATAAATGCAGAAAATTATTAGCCTGGCATTATACAGAATTCAAGTGATAGCCAGGAGGGAACATTACACAGAGGAGGAAAGGAACCTCCACTATGCTCAGACCACTAAAACATTCCCCTTCCAATGCTCAAAATAAGCAGTCTGTTTTGCTTGAACAATTAATGAAAACCTATAACAATTAACAGTTTTAACTAACACAATCACAGTCAAAAGCATGACAGAAAATAACCAGGTTAAATAAAGAAGGGGAGAAGCCTCCTCCAGAGATCTGAAGGGAAAGGAACTGATGAGTCACAACAGACAGGGCCATCTTCACACTGCAAAAAACTAGAGAAGACACAGGAACTCATGACGGTAGATACCACCGGAGAGACAGGCAGGCAAAGACAAATACTGAGCAGAAACGCAGAGACAAAAATCTCAGGACAAAGTCATGATTTCAAATATTTTGGTGTCTCCAGTTCATGGATAGAGCACTCCTCTTTACCAATCATTTCACCACACCCTGGTGTTTACATGAGAATCAACGGAAAAGTCAAAATCTTTCTACAGATTTTCAGAGGTGTAGTAGAAAGGTGTAGAAGAAATAGAAACCCAGTGCACAAACAAGACACAAAAGAAGGAATGGAGCCTGCATCTGCTGCTTCACGTGAGCTCTACATGGGAGAAGTAAGTCATCATACTTCTGTGCATTCGTCTCTCTCATCAATGAGCCTCTTGAGGTGGAAAACCATATTCCTGGAGAGGGACTCTAGTTCTTCTGGGGCCATATCTGGGAGCTCCAGCCACTGCAAGTCAAAGACATTCTCCTGGTTGTGAGTAACCTAGGAACAGGAACAAAAAAAAAAGTCTTTCCACTGGTTGATTTGTAGGTTTTTTTGCTGTATATGCTGCATCCCCCAGGTTCTTCTACTGATCCATTAAAAAACACATCACATTTCACCAAAACAAGGTTGTAAATAACAAACACAACTACCTCAACTGTAATACTACCCAGCGATTTCTGGTATTTATATTTTTTTATAATTATTAAGGCTGATTTTTAAAAGTGATCAGATACATATTATGATCAATAGCACATGTGCTTGCATATTAGAAGTATGCAACTGTCTTACTGCAAGCACTGAGGTGGTCACCACAGGGATCTGAAGGGACTGATCCCGCACTGAACAGGTAGGCTGGTGCCTCACTGAGAAGAAGCCTTGCTTTCAATGAATTTTCAAGTTGCAGCTGATAGAGCTGGGAGGAGCTGCTTTAGCAGAAATGCCTCTGGTTGCTGCTTGCAGTGTACCTTTCAGTGCTATCTTACCCAAACTGATTTCCTCTGAGTCATTTAGCAGAAACGTCAGGCAAGTCTCCCATCTCAGTTAAAGACTGTTTCTGCTTTTGTCATAACCATGTGCTTAGTTCATCACAATTTTATTTTTATTTTTTTAAAGCAGAACTATTTTTTTAAGTGTTAAGAAAAAAGTTCCCGTCTTAGACTTTCACCATTTGTTCCTCAAATCTGAGCATATCGGGCTTTCTACACCTGCATGCACTGACAGCCGGCCGCAGCCAGCGCCCACTCTGGGCAAGGCACACCCAGCTGGGGCTGCTTCCACATGGCTCTCCTTTGGGTCTCCAAAGCAAGCTGGTTCCTAACACCCACCTGTATTCATTGCTTCTACAGAAGCTTTAGAAGTCCAAAAATACTCATCATTGGATCAAACTTCACTTTAAAAACAATTTCAACTGCAGAGTGCACTTTTCAAGACCATCTGAGCCTGGAGGCCACTGTCCAAAGCAAGCCACTGGGGAGCCTGTGTCTTGCCTACCACAGGACTTGGGGACTAAGTGCCTACACCATTGCTGCAAGGGGCACTGCAGCTCCTAAGCCATACATGCTTTTCGGAAATATTACACATGTATCCTTACAACAATTACTTCTACACAGCCTATAACTGACAAGCAAGGCATTTACCACTGCATCTCTTTAAAAGACCACTGAGCCAAGTAATGTTCCCAGAGCCTATCATTTTCATCTTATAATTTAATTGCAGTAACGTATTCAATCTTTTTTTTGGTGAAGTTCCTGAATCCATTATGAAATTCCAAGCATTAACGTTTCATGGCAAAAAAAAAACCCTGTTAAGTCAAGGAAGGGAGAGATAAAAAGTCAAATAGACAATACTGTGAGTCCCACCTCCTGAATGTGTGACACAATGGCAGCTTGGGTTTCAATATCCAGTTGTTTTATTCTTTCAATAAACTCTTCTTTTCTTTCACACTGTTAAAAGAAAACACACCCTGAAACAGTGCTACATATCCTAAAACTTATTGCACCATTTTTCATTTAAATGGGGGAAAAAAAAAATCCCCACATTGCTAACAACAAAATGTTCAACATCTACACTTTGTCACACTAGAAGGTATAACACTTCATTGCTTCATACAGAGCATGAACCGAATTACGCATTAAATTATTTAAACTTTTTACAGCCAGTACAATTAAGGCTAAGTTAAATGGCTGGGTTTGCTCTTTAAAAACAAGTTCAATATGCAATGAGATCAAGAGGCAAGGCAACAGCCAGAGGAAATCATCACAGCTTCATTAATGGAGCTGCACAAATGTAAACCTACATTTACATTACATCATTTAACCTGTCTACTTTGCTGTTTGCATTTTGCTTGGTTTTGGCAATGAAAAGAGATGCATCACTTCAGATACTATTCACATCAATGCATAATATTGCTTGTTGGACTAAATCAACATGTGCTTTAGACAAAAAATGGCGTTACGAAACATGCTGGATAAAAATGAGTGACAATTCAGACAAAACAGATTTTAGTAAATCTTTTACTTAAGGCTTTAAAAGAGACAGACATCTGCTATCTGTATATCTGTGATTGTATGCTAACAACATTATTGCCTTCTTGTAACAACTCTGCATTACGGAGAAGTTAAGCATTACGTAAAGTTTTTTTAAACTCATTTACAGTGTCCTTCTGGGGCCTGATTCCTAGTCTCAACCTTTCCTTGCACTGTGAAGAACCTCAGACCCATAAATGGGGACTAAGGATGCACAGCAGCTTGCCAAATAAGACCTTTATTCTTTGTGCTGCAATGCAACACTGAGATAGTTCAGAGCAGCCATACGCAGACAGCTTTGCCCTGACATAATTGACTTGACATAGTTGAGCAGGGTAAGTGTCCTAAGGCATGACAGACACATTAGACAGACCTACAAACAAGGTCAATTATAAGCAAAGGCTAGCCCGAAACGCATCTATTGTTTACCACCACAGAGGTTTGATGGGCAGAACACTGATTTCTTTATCTGGTAACTGTCGTGCATTTCTGGGGAGTTTCCCATATATATTTGCCTGTCTATTTATTTTAACAAATGCCACATAAAAATCCCCACATGAATATACAAAATATCTATTCATTTCATATTTTCTACACGTAATATTCAATCAAAAGATAATGCAAATAAAATGAGGATTCATTAAGCTAATGTTTAAACTTCTAGCTTATCTACTTGTTTGACATTAATATGTACTGTTCCACTCTATATTTTAAAACGGTAAGAAAATAAACCAACAACCATTTTGATATCAAGAACACTGTTCAAAGTTTATCTCTTCCCACTTTGTTATCAAAGTGGACTACTTAGTTGCAAGAGTACACATCCTGTGGCTGATTAAGCTTTGGCAACAAATTGAGATAACTGCTATCACAAAGCGTGCTTCCTTTCCCCTGCATTTCTTTCATTCACTTATAGTGTCTTCTCACAATTTCAGCTCACATGCTGCCTCAAGCTGGAGATTCATTCATACAGCACTAATCTTTGGATGGATTTTCTCAGTCCAGAAAAAAATAACAGATTCAAAAAAATATTATTTTTCAAGTCTTTAATGAATATTCACCTGCACAGCACATCCCAGAATCAACAACAGCAGCTTCTTAATTTCATCCATACTTTTACCTAGAGAGGAAAAAAGGGAATCAGTACATACATACAACAAATTAAGTACCTGCAAGTGATTGATTCTCTCCAAAATACCCACCTGAAAAGAGAAATAAGACTTTGAATAAGTGCCTAAACAGTATGTATGTGCCCGTTATAATGTTGCCATACTTTCCATGTAACAACACAGTTCTTATGGATTAGTTTAAAATACCAAATCCAGCAAGTCTTTTTTTTCCTCGATATACTATCCTCACCTACATTTTCTGAGCCTTTTCTATCAATGCGGGGGGGGGGGGGGGAATCCTTTAAATAGTTCAACGCATATGCCCAATGTTTGTCCCTTGTTTTGTGATTAAGAAGGGTGCAAAAAAGCCCACCAAACCACCACCACCTCTTCCCCCCCCTCCAAAAAAACACCAAAACAGAACAAAACACCCTGGGCAGAAGCGAAGGAGGGTTACTGTCAAAGAAAGAACTTGTCCTAAATTTTCTGTCTCTAAAATAGTTGCCACTCAGACTTTCCAAGGCTGAATGCCATCCTGTGCACATAAATTTTTTCCAAGAGATGTTTTAGCAAATAAATTCTGCCTCTGCTCTGCATCAAAGCCTGTTCACACTTTGAAGCGTAAACCCCAGGTGCCAAAAGGGATAAAAAAAAATGAATGATGTAGAAGGGAGAATATGCAGCTAACCATATGCTCAGGGAGCCATGGGGGGGAGGAGATATATGCAGGTTGGTACTGCAGGGAATCCTGCTGCGACCAACAGCCCTGCTGGCCACCTCCTAAGGTTAGGAGAGAGAAAGCCTTGAGCCAAGTCCAGATCTTGTTTCAACCAAATTAATGCGGGGATTGTTGGGTGGTAAAGAAAATTATGTATATCAAAGTTAGACAAAGGGAGATAGAAGGCAAGGAGCTTCAATGAGGAGATAAAAAATCATTATGGAGTTAGGTTCAGGAAAAGCCTGTCCCCATTCTACACTGGGGGAAGAGAAGGAGAGAGAAACAGGCCACATACAGTTTTCTCTCATCCCTATATATCTGCATACTTCCTGACACACAGTGTATAACTGTGGGATAAACACTTTCATTTTATACCCTGCTTTACTTGGGTGTTCAATTGCTTCTATCGCTAAATAGACAGGTAATAATTTCTGAGTGCAACTGTGGTCCTCCACCAACACCATGCCCTTGTAAGGCTGCACTGGCAGAAAGTTAGAGGCATGTGCAGGACCCAAGGCCAGGGAACTGGAGTCAAACTGACTCGTCAATTAAGCTGCCGCAGCCCCCCAGATGCACAAAGGCACACTGACCTAAATTACCACAAGGCTTACTTCCATTCTCAGAACCTTGCAAGCCAGCACGGCCACATGCAGGCAGCTTAGGATATAACTCGTTTTCTGTTTTCCTGATATTAGGGCACACAAATGCCCTAAACCAGTCTTTAAATGTACCTTACTTGTTAAACAATTTTTCAACAACTTTTAAGAATATTGATCTTTAAAATGTTTCAAGAATGCCCTACAGAAATTATCAGTATACTGTACAAATCAACACTAGAATTCTCAATATCCAAGTCCCACATTATTAAGATTTTGCAAGCAGGAATTCTTCTCTTCTGCAGAGACAGACATATTTAAAATGTGTTAATTTACACTTCACCCTGTAAATACAATATTGTTTGTTTCCCTGCAGAATATTTAAAAACTGTTTTTGAAAGATGGACGGACAATCATCCTTACTCTTCTCCCTGTATCTAGCAGCATACATGGCTTGCTCTTTTCTGAAAAATGACAATTTAATACACAAATAACATCTCAGTATGTGAAAGTCTGGTTGTTCTGTATGATTCTGAATAACACAACCTTAAAGGCAGACAGTGTCACAAAGAAAAAACACTCAGCAAGGACAACAAAAAGATCTGTTACTTAGTTAACAGTTCCTTTGAGGGCACTACTAGCCCAAGGAGATAACTTGGTTTGGTCAGAAGACATTTTTTCACAAAACTGAGTTCTCATTAGCATTTCAGCATTGGGTTTCATTCTGCATCAGCTTCAGGAATTAAATGGAGAGCATGCGTGTGGGACACAAGAGCAAGTTACTAAGTTACAGAGAGCAAGTGACTCAAGTGTGTGTCTCATTCTCCCAAGCTTACTCGGGGCAGAACATCTTCTCCGTGAGACACTGCAGTAGCCACCAGGCTGCTTGCTTTTGATCACACCAGACAAGTGCTCTAACACTTGCGTGCTCTCGGCACTTCCATCTGTTGACCATAAACTCCAATCCTTGCACCATGGCATCACAGCTCTCCTCAGGGTGAGCCTAGTGGCTTGAAATCACTCGCTTTAGAAAACGTCAGGTTACTTTCCAATGGTGAGAGCATCTATAACATCATAAAGACATGCAAGCTACTTAAGCCATTGAAAGCACACTCCACCTCTCTGCACTAAATGTAGCAGGCTTTGCTGTTCTCTCCATGGGCTAACAAATGGGCATCAGTGATGCTGCATGACCCTGTGAGGTGAAACACCGTCAGCTATTACTACAGAATAACTTAGCAAGGTCAACCCTGTCCTCCCACCAAGGACTGACCTTGCCTGGAAATACCACTCCGAGACCTTGTCCACACTTAGGCCCTCTTATCAGGAAGAGAAGCTGAGGCACACATGGCAAGCCCCGCTGGCGGCTTTCACAGAAAACTTAGCTGTCAGGATTATTCCACGATTTCTTTTTTAATAAATTATTTTACACTTGCAGACATGTTAAGCACATGTAATGCAAATGAGATTGCACTACCCACTAGAAACACTCTTAAGGTTGAAAGGTCTACTTAGAAGCTCTACTCTGCCAGCCACACAAGTGTTTCAGAAGATCATGTGTGACTGTTTTAAACAATTCAATTCCTTGGGCTTTCATTCAGAAGCTGTTTCCCATGGGGTGGAGACAGTTTGTTGGCATTAAGGCACTCCAAGATCACTCATACTCAAGCTAAGTTTGAGTAACATTTTAAAGCCTCGTAGAATAACATTATTTACAGGAGATATTTAGAAGAAATAGGGTGTGAGTATGAAAAAACCTCTCTACCAATCTAAAGTGCTTTGGAGAGAGTTTTCAATTAAACCTCAGAATGAGCCAGGAAGGGATTAATCACCCCTCTCAACTCACCCACACGAGAGCTGAGATACCACACACTTAAGTGGAGTGTCCAAGGTTACTAAGTGAATCAGAAGCACATCTAAGATTATTACACAGGACAGCAGCTAAGTTCTACACTCAGGACACTGCATTTATCCTGTAATGCATGTTGAACGAAAGTAAGGTATCTTTATCCCCAATTCAGTCATGCCTCCTGAACCATGAATGATTCTGTGGTGTTTTTCAAAAGGCTTGATTTGTGCTAATTTAATAAGGTGGTAAAATTCCTTGTCCAACTGCATAAGCAGGAACGTGCGGGCTTCCCTATGCTGGCTCATTGGGATGACACAAGTCCTTTCTAGATGGCTGGGAAGAAAGTTTGCTGGGTCTACCTAGGCTTATTAGCTGACCTTACTAAGACACTGTCCTCCTACGATGTAGGATGCAAACACTTAGGTCTGGGACAGCTCCTGGCAGACAGGTACCCACAAGCTGAAATGAATGGACAGGACTCAAACTAGCACTTAAACAGAAAGGTGCTAATTCAAAAAAAAAACCTCTTTTCTTTTACACCCTTTTGAAAATTCCAGGGCAGCTGCTCTCAGGCCATGTGGTTGTGCCTGCAAGGGAGCCAGCCACGGGGGGGATTTGCAGAAAGACCATCTGCTCCCAACTGTGAGAGAGGGCCAGCGGGTTTTCTGGAAAATAAAGGGAGGGAAAGCCCGAGCACCACCTGTGCATCCTGGGAGCCTCCCTGTGCCAGAGCCAGGAGACCCCTCTGCTCTCACAGGGGACAGAGGGTGGGAAACAGATGGTAGGACTCAGGGAGAAGGCTGGCAGAGGGATTAGGAGACACAACAACAAAAAAAAGGAGGATCAAGGTACAGAGAGGATACAGACAATGAAAAAAATGAGAGGTGGGTAGGAAAGATTGCAGAGAAAACAGGAACGAGAGAGCCCAAGCATGTGAAATCTTGAGCTTGTGCCGCTTCTTTCTGCACATTTCTACTTTGACATTCCTTCAGTGGAGGAGAGGAAGTGCCAGGGCACGTAGTACTACATGTGGTGGCCAGTGGATGTGTGGAGAAGGTGGGAAGGGGTGAAACATGCATGTGCCATTTTTCCCAACAGTAGCAACATCCTGAGTGGGAAAAACTTGAATGCTAAATTTACACTATTGAGGCAGTGTTTTGTTATTAACTTTATATTTTATGAACCTTTGTGCCTCTGGAGGACTGTGAAACGAAATGAGGAAGGAAGCCAGACATGAAAAAATACCCCAGTGAGAATAGACTTCTTTTATGATTTTAATGAAAAACAGTTTCTATAGACACTTGTTAGCAGGGACTTCAGGCTCTCTCATTCACAAACTTAACATGGAATTTGAAAATGGAATTTAAATAGCAAAGTTTTTTGAAGAGACAGAAATGACCCTACTTCAGGCAAATAAAACCTCACTTCCATTCTTGGTCTGAAAAAAAGTTAAAATCCCCCCCCCAATTAACTATGACTGTTTCAAAAGATTAATTGCCATCAGTTTCCAAGTATACTCACTAGCTGTGTTAAACTAAGCATGTCTAGAAACTAAGAAATTAATGCACCTCTAAATAGAGGTTCAGGACCAGTACTGTATACTGATATTCCTTGTGTGGGCCATTTGAGTGGCCATTTATAAGACATGCTAAAACCAGAGGTAATTATGAAAGGTGATTACAATGATGTGTATAGATGATAAATATGCTGATGATTCTCATATTGAGCACAGGGGGATTTGTGGTGCAGCAATGAATTGAAAAAGCTGTTCAGCAAGAGAAAACATGGAGGAAGACAAAAACAGAGAGGAAATTTAATGGTAGTAGCTGTCTACTGTACAGTGCAGAT